AAAACAATTTTAAAACTAACTTTATTTTTGGACTGCATCATATTTTCCTATGTTGTTGTCAAAATGTCATGTTGTCACACTTTTTCAGAGAAGTTAAATGACCTGGTAGCACATGGTAGCATGGTAGCAGTGAAAACATTAACGTAAACATTAACGATAAAAATTTATTTTCGTAAATGTTGTCAAAATGTCATGTTGTCATCATTTTTCAGAGAAGTTAAATGACCTGGTAGCACATGGTAGCATGGTAGCACCTCCAGTTCTTCAAAAATAATTCATAACTACCTTCCTCCTGTGTTGTTGTCAAAATGTCATGTTGTCACACTTTTTCAGAGAAGTTAAATGACCTGGTAGCACATGGTAGCATGGTAGCACCTCCAGTTCTTCAAAAATAATTCATAACTGCCTTCCTCCTATGTTGTTGTCAAAATGTCATGTTGTCATCATTTTTCAGAGAAGTTAAATGACCTGGTAGCACATGGTAGCATGGTAGCACCTTCGGTTATTCAAAAATAAATAATTATTGAATAACCTGAAACCATTGACGTAAACATTAACGATAAAATATATTTCTGCAGTTCATCCACTACTTCATTACCTAATTAATTACAGACATAAAATATATTTAGTTCATTCAATAAATGCGGTACCATGCGAATACAGTCATAAATGGCGGCGGTATTCTTTTCTGTATGCTTTTGTCTTTGGATTCAATGACTTCATCTTTTGCTTGAAGTTTCTTTTCCATCTCTCCACGTTCTGCTTTATATAGTTCATCTAACATCATGAAAATATAACAAGCATAACGAGGTGAAGCCCACATTGCTACAGCATTTACTAAAAGTCTATGAACATAATAACCTTTCAAACCAGGTGCCAAATTCTTGCGATTTTCGTACGGAATCTCTTCCCTCGGTTTTCCGAGGGAAGCAATCATATGAGGAAATTCTTCTAAAAGTTCTTTTGCCTGTTGGTTTTCAAACCAATGATATGCTTGCTTTGTAGAACGAAGAGCGTTCATTATACTTTGCATTTGATACATATCATCTTTGACTGAACGAATGAGTCTCAATTGTTTGTTATATTGTATGTATTCGTATTCTTCATTTATGGCTTCATGAACGATAGCAGTTGTTGTGTTCTCTAATGTTGACATTACTGTTCTTACATACAGGATAAAAAAATAAATAAAATAAAAACTAACTTTATTTTTTCTGAGATAAACACTATTTCTTCACAACATTAAATTTTATCCTGTATGAAATGACTTTAAAAAGATTATTGACTGACTTCGAATACTATCTCATTGACGCACTGACAGACCCTCAAAACTGTGTTGAAAGTTCTTTAAGCTTTAAGATTGAAGGTACGACGCATTTTGTCTTCACTTACGTATTGAAAGAATATGACCGTTATCATAACGAAGTGAATCAAACACTAATAAAATTTGTAGATAAAAAATTGGTTAACAATGAATATTTTAAACGTGAAGACCCAAACACTGCTGGAGATGATGAAGAATACAGACAAGTTATTGAAAAAAATAACGCAAGATTAGATGCAATAGAAAAGAAGTTTAATGAATGTCTTACAAACACGTATGAATATCTTATGCAGTGGGAAGCCAGATGGAAATAAATTTACGTCAAATATGCAATTTATAAAATCTTATGTCGACAGGCTACGTAGCACAGTGGTCTAAGGTGGTGTTATGGAGGGGTCAAGGTCTGTGGTTCGAACCGCGACAGCGCCGTATTTTCTTATTTTCTTTATTTGTCTTGTTTGTCGTGAATAAAAAGTGTCATAAAAGTGCTCTATCTTCCACGGGAATAAATAAAAAATTTACTTTATTTCTTCTTTATTTCTTTGTTCCCGTGGAAGAAGGGTTTTGCTGTTTTTTCTCAGCCGAAATCAATGATTTTTTCATTTTTGGAATCCTTAGCGAATGAGGAATCTTTTCTCTCGTGGAAGCTTTGACCTAAAATATAATTTAGGTGAAGAGGTGAGATGTCACCTGTTTTTCACCTCTTTTTCACCCTCGTGACTTTGTCATAACTTCTTCGTAAATGCTTTGTCATAACTTCTTCGTAAATGCTTTGTCATAACTTCTTCGTAAATGAGTGTAAATGACCAAAAATATATTATAGGTGAAGAGGTGAGATGTCACCTCTTTTTTCACCTAATTTCTCACCCTCATGAATTTTCATGAATTTCCTTAAGATAGAAAAATAACGTTAGTTTTATTTTTATTTATTTTTTTATTTTGTATGTAAAGATATGATTTCAACAATCGGCACAACAACAATTCAAGCCGCGAACGGCGGGACTCTGTCCACAACAACTTCACCAAACTCGTTAGTCATGAATCCAACATCTATGTTAGTAGAGATGAAAAGCTTCATTCCTTCTTCATATACTTTCGAAACAAAAATCCAGAAGATAAAGCAAGAACTTTTAACAAGTAATTTAGACTGTAGTGCGAAAGATGAAACAAATGAACAGTATCTTTATGAAATGCAGGACATTATTGACCATTTACCTAAACTACCTGAAATTCAGCATCAAAAACTAACTATTCCTGAATTCGATGAAATAGAAGTGAAACCAACTGACTCAGTAGAAATAAAGAAGTTCATTCGAAAGGTAAACTATGAGTTTCTAGGATTTCATTGCAACCATAAGGTTATGGACAAAGATTGCGACATGGTATATAAGAATGTTTCTGACATATATAAATCCGGGGAGTTTAAGACCTACGATAACTTTGTTTCGTTAGTTGCTGAATGTGTATGGCAGATAAGAGATAAAGATAGAAGAGGTAAAATATGGAACGAACAGATAAGACCAACTGCTTTTGAGTTAAAGAAAACCATTGACGCCTTAGTTGTTTTAGCAGGTAAGGTTTCAGAATATAACGCAAAAATGAATCCGCAATGTTCTAAATGTAAAGCAGCAATTAGGAAATATAACTACTCCGTCAAAGAGATAGAAAGAATGCGAAACGACTATGCAGACTTAAAGAAAGAAGCAGAAAAGCCAGCAGAAAATAAAATGGACATGTTAGCATTTCTGAACAAAAACTATCCAACTGCTGACGATTTCCTTCTATCTGACGTCAAGAAGAAATATAAAGAAACTTTCGGCATTGTTAAAACTTTTGACATACTGACAGAAGAAATAGAAGCTACGAAATTGTTTAGGATTTCAAATATACATCGTACAATTCATGTAAAACGCTTGTGAAAAACTGGGGTGAGAAAACAGGTGAGAAAACGGGTGACATCTCACCTCTTCACCTATAATATATTTTTGCTTTAATTAAATGCTTTCCGGAAACGTCGATGAAAATCATATGGACAAATTATATGAAAAAATTAATAATGATTACCCCTCATTAACCAGGGAAATGACGGATTCTATAGTTCGTAAATTCGATGAAATACAGGATATGTGGTTCGACAGATTCGACATGAACGATAAGGAAAAGAGAAAGAACGATAACAATTTACTTACTAAAAGAATCCTAAAATCTAAAATAGGTGAAGCTTCAACATTTAACACAGTACATAACTTTTACACCGCTGTTTATATTTTCAATAATTTATTTAACGATGAACGAGAAAGAAAAAGTATGTTTAACGGAAGAAATGAATATGATTTTATCCTTTGTGCTGTTCGGGATGTTGACATGAAACTAAAGAAAATATTCTTATTACAAGATGACACGGTTGAAGATGAAGTCAATGAGTTTTTAAATCGTGATTTAAATGAAATTGATGAAGTTATGACCGAATGTTATAAAAAGTTCAAGAGGTGAAAAAAGAGGTGAGAAAACAGGTGAAATCTCACCTCTTCACCTAAATTATATTTTTGTCTGATTTACATCCAACGAAAAAGTTTAGAAGAATTTTCTTATTCTTTCTGGCATGTTTTTATCTTTCCAGTACTCCCGCTCTAATGGTCCCAGATGAGTTGGTTTAGATTCTCTCAAGTTCTTAGATGGTATAACATCTTCAACGCCTCCTTCATATCTTACTTTATAAGTGTCATCGTTTGTGTTATAGTCAAGTATTTCAATAACCACTCCTCGCTTTGCTTCGTCAATGGTTTCAGCAAGTTTGCCATTACTACTTTCGACTAATTTATGTCGAGGGTAAAATGCTATGGAGTCGTCAGCAGCTTTTATAAGATATCCATTACCTTGCGTAGAGTCTACGATATAATAATTTCGACTTAACCTTAAACGTTTCTTTGTCAATGGTTTGTCGTCAAGAACTACACGAACTTTTGTACCAGGAATGAGAGTAAATTGTGTTGAATTTCTGATATTTTGTGTTTGGCTTCGTTTCTTTTGTATATACTTTTCTTCTTGTTGTTGTGTCATTGAATTTGGTGTATGTCCTGTTGTAGAATGTGTTGAGGAATTATATACTTCGAGAAAATGTTTCATTGTTTCTTCGGTAAAGTCTCGCTCTTGATTTAAATCTCTGAGAGTCCTTATGAAGCGGTTAATGATACCGAGTATGTTATGGTTATGGTCTTCAGTAGTGTAGTGAGTTATGTTATGCTTAATGAGAAATTCTGTGATTTCGTTGCTGAGGTATGCACCGTCTTGGTCTGATGTTAAAATACTTGGGCTATGTTCTGCTACAAACTTTTGTAAAACTCTTAACACTTCATGAGTTCCTTTATTTCTCATTATATACGCATATGCTTTACGAGTGTTAACATTTATGAAGATGAGGAATGGTTTATGTCCTCCTTTTCTGCTTTGAATGAGAGTGTCAAATTGGTATGCGTCAGGAGTGTTGGAGTAAATTGGTAAAAAGTAGTCGTAAGGATTTATTTTTGTTTGATGTACAACATTTTTGTCAAAGAACCTTTTCACTTCAGCTCTGTTAGTAAATCCCCTCTTTGCAGCTTCATTGAACTTCTTAAATGACCTCCATGGATGTTGTTCGAATACTTCTTTCAAGCTCATTTATGTAAAGTTAAAGATTTTAACCAACTCGTATCCAAGCGTGCATTGTTATATAAGGAGGCATATAATCTTTTCCATTACCTGCTGGGTCTGTAATACCAGCTACAACATGTGTATGATTTCCTGCAGTTCCACAGAAAATACCTGTGCTAACATCTTTGGGGTCAGTTGTGATATCATATCTATGCATTCCCTGTCTATCCGAACCCGCTGCAAGATTTGTATAACCTCTTTTTGTTATTGAATGTGAATGGTTTCCTTCCACAGATGTTCTTCCACTGAACCTATGCATATGTGAAGGAAGGTTTTCAATACCTATTTTCTTTGAACCTCCCATCTTCATTGACTGCGTATTAGTGTAGAATGGAAAACTGTCAACTATTTCATACCATCTACCACCAAATAAAGTGTTTGGATTTATTGGATTCATAGACGTATAAACAGCTCCTATAGGATATATTAAATCATATATGCTCATAACTCTATAAACATATTCTAAAGAACTTATGTCATTAAATACCATTTGGAATGTATCTCCCGGATGAAATGTTGCATTTGTTCCACTTTTATAATGTAATGTTAGTTCAATAGAATTATCCAAGAAAAATTCAAAAGTATCTGGTTGAAGACCTCTAACAAATTCAAATGGAGTTGCTGGTTCACCATTTATAATTTCTGTTGTAAATGTCATTGTATCTGGTTTCGAAAATTTCTTTGTTAGTTCTGCATCCACATAAGTTTTATCTGCTTTCTTGTCTAACATTGCTGGTAGTTCATATGCTTCAAAGTTTCTGGCATGATCTTCGGTATTCCTGCAACTCTTATCTAAATTGTTAAGAGTATCTTTTACGCTTGTACTCGGATTTCTAATGGTGCACTTGAACCAAGGTCAAAGTTCAATATTATGTCGTCTGCTCTAACAGTAGTGAAGGATTTATGTGTATGGTTCTTGTCTGCTTTCTTGTCATATAAATCTTGAGCAGTGAATTTAATATTATGTTCATCCTTCATGACATAAACATCTTTACATCTAATGTTTCTCATCGTCGTTATGTCGTCATCCGATGTTAAACCTTGTGGAAAGTTAGGAGGTTTACAATATAATGCATCCCCACCAGTTTCTTCAACCGTTCCTTCAATACTTTCTATAGCAACAGTTGTGAAGGATTTATGTGTATGGTTCTTGTCTGCTTTCTTATCTAACATTGCTGGTAGTTCATGTGCTTCAAAGTTTCTGGCATGACTTTCAATGTTCCTGCAACTGTTATCTAAACTGTTAAGAGTATCTTTTACGCTTGTACTTGGATTTTCTAATGGTGCACTTGAACCAAGGTCAAAGTTCAATATTATGTCGTCTGCTCTAACAGTAGTGAAGGATTTATGTGTATGGTTCTTGTCAGCTTTACTGTCTAAAGAAGTTTGAAGTTCATTTATATCGGAGATGTTGTGTTTATGAGATTTCAAAACTTTGTTCGTTGCGTCAAGTTCAACTTTGTCAGCTTTACTTTTAATAGCATCTTCAAACGTTATTTTTGCCTTAACTCTTAACATAAATCTTGGTTCAACTAATACACCATTAACAGAGAAAGTAGAGGCATAAATTTCATCGTTATAACTAAATGCTTCTGGTGCTTTACCTGTGTCATACTGTACAGTACAGCTTATGTCATAACCTTTAGCACGAATGTATTTATATCTTCTTTCATTAACATTTTTTGTCTTCGCTTCATCACTTCGTGTTAAATATCCATGGTAGTCCGTTATAATCTGTTCGTCTGAAGTTATATAATGAACGTGGTTTTTATCTGCTTTTTCGGCTAATTTCTCATTAACATCATTCACTTCTAATTCAACTCTTCCGCCAGAACTCTTATTATCATTAATCTTTTTCATTAATTCGGTAATTACGTCATAAAGACTATATTCTGTTTTCGGTTTTGTAAATAATGAGTCAAAATTTCTTTTCATCATTACATCGCTGACATTAATGATATCACCAATTCCTTTTTCATTTATTCTCTTCATTAATTCTGCAATAATGACGAATATATAATCTGTTAATTTATTCTCTTCATCGAGGGTTATAGAATGTTTTGAAATTGAATCATTAACTCCTCTAAATAAATCAATAACTTCAGGATACACGTTTTTAATGTCTTGAATAACCCGACCAGTATCCTCGCCACTATGTGGCTCTGAGCCCGTTGGGCTCTGTTGTTCATGTTCTTCGTTCCCGTCGTTACGTGGTTTTATATCTCTAACCATCATCAACGCAGCCATAACCGGAGGGTTTGTTGCTACCTGTTCGAAAATCCGTCCGTTATGTATGGTATATCTAAATAATTTCTTTGTGTTTGTTAAAACATTTGAAACAAGTCTTTTAAAACCATCTACAAAATTTCCTGTTTCACCTAATGTTCTTGCAGCATTTACAAGCTCACCCATTCCCGCTTTTGACCCCAAAAACGTCCATATTGCATTTATTTCACTCTGTATGTTGTCCATTCAGCGAAACTAACACCCGCATCGCTAAGCTGAAATGAAATTCAGTGGATCGAACTTAATTCCACCTTCTTTTTCAATTTCAACGAACTCACTAACATGAGATTTTAAATATTCTTTCGTTAAAATTGTTTTCCCTGATGTTATGTCATTAACGAAACTATCACCGTCAAAAGTTAACGAATTCAATTTCGTCGTTGATGCTTTTATTTCATACACGCTTTATCGGATAGTTTTTGGCTCACCTTCTTTAGAAGCATATGAAACATTAATGAATGAATTATATGTATTCGTGAATGAATTAAAATCAATGATTTTCATTAATGACGCCTTTAATGATTCATTACTGTCGAATCCTTAAAACAATTAATGAACTGTCATGGGCTTTGCCCTGGTCGCTTCGGTCTGAAAAGACCTTCAGGACTCAAAGATCCGTTTGCGACTTTATGAAAGGTACACTGCAAACGCGTCGAGTTTGGATCAAATGCTGTAGTTGGTGCAGGAATATAATGATATAAGTCATTAAATCATTAAGTGACGTAAATAATGTTGTCGTTTTTGATTTAATTTCTTTAGCATCTGTTATATACGTAATTTTATTTCTGTAGTTTCTGAATTAAGATATTCGCTAAAATGTTTTGTAAACTGTTTTGAACAGCTGTGTAAACCGTTGAATTCGGAACTCTTACGATTTCACCATCCTTAATAAAAGGCATTGTACATGACGTAGTGCTTGGTCAAATCTTTCGGGATTATAATTCAACATATATTCTAACGCTTCATATACAGACCTATAAACAGTTGTGTCGTTCTTCATGACAACTTCACCATTTACAATGAATGGCATAGTGCATGGAGTTAAATAGGGTCAAACTTTTCATAGTCCTTCCATGTTATGTATTTCTCGGTATTTCCATCAGAAATAACAATATTTGTCAGTAAGTGTGAGAGAGTATTGACCAAAATATAAACGTTTAGCTCTGTCAGCTTCATACGGCATATGCAGCAATACTCATATTTTAATGAGAATAAAATGTTGTTCTATTTGCAAAGTACAGACCCAAACGAATACGGGACAGTAAAGCTACAAACAAACTTAGGTCTTCAGAATGAAGCGCTTGCTTTCAGAGTTGTTGACTTCAATACTATCGCTTCATTCGTTATAACAGATGAAACAGATTTCATGGAGCTTGAAATAGATGAAAGAGCACGAAATAAAGTTTCACAATAATGTAGATATAAGATGGAAACATTAGCTGGAGTGTTAAATGCTCTCATAAATACTACAATAAACAAGGAGAACGAAGAAAACTTAATGAATGATTAAACTTATTGCAGGAGTTTTGAAGTTCAGTTATGTGAAGGAGTTTAAGATAACACGAATGAAGTCATAGAGTTCAATTGCTTCTGGGAGCATACCATATGACATATTCCTTTGAAAAGTGTTGACAAAACGATTGAGATTGAAATCTGTTCCATACGTATGTTATGGTAATTTTGTACATTGAGTCTAAAATAGCTAATGTCACAGTATTTCAGGAGTTAATAGTAAAGGTTTCAGTAGAATATAAAATCCTTCTGTTATGCAGTCAATTCAATGTTCATTCCAAACGTTCCTGTTCATAGCAACTCATTTAGGTAAATGGATTCGCATTAGTCCTCATAATTTGAAAGACATGCAATTCAGACTTGTTGACTTTCAAGGCGAGCTGTAGAAACTGAAGGCACCAGTGCGAATGACTGTTGAAGTTGACTTTTTAGAAAATATTAAATGCAACAGCTTACAAGAGAACTCAGAGCTAAAAATATAAAGTATGAATGTTATGTATTAGGTCATGAACTTTGGTTGTTGCTGTTTGATGAAACAAATGAGTTAGTTATGTCAGTCAAGAGAACAGAAAAAGGCGTCAAAGGCGCCGAGCGCAAAGCGCTATATTGTGTTAGTGAAACTGCACCAAGTCAATAAGATTAGGTTTGCATTATGAAGATGAGTTCGATACTGTTGAAGAAGTTTTGGACAGATATTACAAATTGCTTTAATTTACTAAAAACATATTTCAAACAAGCTTATATTCTGTTGAAATTTGTATACTCGTTCGAATATTTATACTTAAACTCAACTCCTGTAGTTCCTGTTTTCAATGATGCGGATGTTACCTATTTTCATGAATGGTGGCGTTTGACCACAGCATTCGATTTCAGGTCGAGATAGTCAATGACACATTGTTTCCCTGTTATTCGTATATAACATTTTCAAGGTCTCCTTGTTAGAATTATTTGGTTCTTGCTTATAAGATTTGTCAAAAGCTTCTTATCGTCTTTGAGTAAAATTGTTTGGTATAACTGAAGAAGGTAATGGTCTACGTTATCTGAAGATTTGTTTGAACATTGTGTAAGGGTTGTCGTGGCTTCTCTTGAAAGAATTTGTCCAGTGGTGGATACTCTAACTTAACATCTGATGTAGCGTTAGCTTTGAAGCTGAGTTTAAATTCACGGATTTCAGTTCTGGTTCTTTTCTTTCAAACACTCCGAACTATAGTTCTTTATGACAATATTGTTTGTCGTTCGTGAGTCAACATTTGATGTTGGTTCAATGGAACATTAACGCACCAGCTAAGATGGATTTGCTTCTCATTTCATATAGAATAAAAACCTTTTATATGTATGAAATGAACAATATACTCGACAAGGTTTGAATGTAAAGCTAACGAATGAAAATATTGTTGAATTCACTGAGACAGTGCTGTGTATAAAGATGTAGAACTACTGAACAAAAAGAGCTAAGGGAAGAAGCAGGAACATGAACAAAGGTGGAAGCCTATAAAAATTTATGTCAATGATGGCTCAGGAGTTCAAACATAAAGTATGCAGAAAGTTATAAGTTTATGCGCTAAAAGGTGAAAAGCCTTCATTTAAGAACAGCTATTCTAACGCATATCCTCAAAAGTTAACGGATGGGAAGTGGATGATATGAATGACAGCAAAAATATTAACAGAAATGGCGACAGATGCATGGAATTTGTTTACCATCAGTCAATTGAAGGTAAACTTTAAAACAATGTTGGTCGTTCCCATGGAATATTTTTGACTTTAATGTATTAGTCATGATATGAATCTCAAGGTATGAACGAGGAGAGATGGAGACTTATATGCTTCCCAAATTTCTTCAAAAAGGTAATGTTATACCTGACTGTTCCAAATGAGTTCAATATCATAACGTGAAAACCTTGAAAGATAACGAAGTCAGTTATGAGACGTTTTATGTTTAAAGCTAAAAACCTCCATGTTTGCATAAGATTGCTACAGTTAAGTGGTAATGTCTGACTTTAGTAATGATGTTAGCTAATTTGAGTCAGCTTTGACACTAAACCTTTCCGGCGAAGTCGTCGCAAACGAGCAGAGTATTTGAAGGATACTTTTGAAGGTATTTTGAAAGTTTGATAGAATGTAGTTTGTCAGTCGTTTCATATCGTAACTCCTGAGTATTGACGTAAGTGTGTTTGTCAATAATTCTTTCCATCTCTTCTGAAGTCTTTTGCATTCCTGACTGTATAATTCAACGATGGCATAATATTTCCTCTTACGTCGAACGTAACGTTGAAGAAATTCAATGAGTCACTGTCTGGAACTTTAAACGACAGAGGCTTGAACTTTTGACATAAATGTTTTCGCTGTTGAATCCATAGAGTCTGAAGTTGCTGATATAATGATTTGGTCATAGTAAGAGTCGTTTCCTAAACGCTCTGTTATGAGTATATGACGAATGAGGTTAAATGTCTTACCTGAACCCATCTTTCCACAATAGAAATACACACCATTTGAACAGAACTCATAATCTTTGCTGAAAGGAAGAATGAGAGAAGAGTTAAGTTTGTCTGTAGTTTCATTCATGTCTTCATCTACGTCATGTATTAAATGCTTCATTTTATCTCCATTAAAAATGCAAGTCAGAAATATTCAGAACATAGCACCGAGTCTAACTGACAAGAGTATAAAGATATACTATGAACACGTTATGATGAAACCAACCAAAATTCAAGAAAGTCAGTATACTTATGAATATCCAAGACACTGGGTAGAGTATGTAGGAGGTGAGAAAGCTATTGAAATCAGACAGGTTCGAAGTATTCCAGCAGGAAGGACAATATTATTGAAGAACTTTAATGTTTTGAGGTATAATGATGAAACAAAGAAGCAAGATAGTTTTCCCATTGCTGTGTATGTGAACCTAGACACAGGAGATGACATGAAAGTTTTTAATACAAAGCTTCAAACGGTAGTGAGAGAACAACTGACTGCGGAAGGACACCCATTACCTTCAGAAGTTAGCATAGCATATAATTTTGAAACAAACTCAATAGATTTTAAAGTCGTCTCTGCAAAGAAGTCAGGTTTTACATTTAATGAAGCAGATGTATATTCGAATGAAAACTTCAAAGCTATTGCATGGTTAGATAATGACGATTGCTTTAAGAAAATATTTAAATTCAGTGACTCAACGATGTCAATAGATGACCTTCGTGGAATGTTACCATCGACGTTTACAGTTGAAGGTTCAGCAGGATTGCTTACAAGATTGTCAATTGGTGGTATTTGGTCTCGTGAGAACATTGTTATAAAATCCAGTATAAGTGAATTTGCTGAAGAATCTATATTATGTCTTTCAAACTATATGTATTCGCCGCCGAAGCATTATAGTATAACAAACTTTGTCAGTAAGTTTAATATAAGACTTGTTGAACCTTCTTCAATGAAAGATGTTGTGCTACCCAAAGACGGAAAGGATGGACTCATTATTGAGATGATTTTAATAGCATATTAAATGAGCTTGTTCTTGAAGGTCGTTCATGATGAAATAACAGTTGTAGAAGATGTTAGCAATTGTTCAGATATTTTGAAGCGTATAGATGAGATAAGAAAGAAGTTAGATAGACCGCAAAGCGGTGAGGGCGAAGCACGTGAGAATGTTTATGTTTCATTGACTTTCTCCAGTAACGAGAACTTTTATGAGATAATATTGAAGAGAGATGATTTTAATATGGTGTAAATGGTAACTTGGGCAGCTTTAGGCGCAATGGGAACAAAAGCATTAGCATTTGGAGCAAAAGCACTTGGAGCTTATGACGCAGTAAATAAAATGAGTGGAGGAAGGGTTTCAAAGACATTAGATGCAAATAAAGGAAAGATTGGAGGCTGGGTTGCAAAGAAGTTAAGATTAAATAAAATAGGGCTCATAAATAAAGCATCCAATTTGGTTGCGACTGAGTCAGAAAATGCTTTAGGAAAGGACGATGAGTTTGCAAAACACGCAAAAGACTTTAATGACCAGATGAAAGGTGAAACAATGCATTTAAATAGAGTCGATGGAACTAAAGAAAATGTTTCTTCTCCACCAGTAGTTCTTCCGTATGGTCCCTATGGAATGTATGGAAACCCTTACGAAAGACCATTTGACCCAATGACTGGTGGAAGTAACTGGTATCATTACGGACGAAGAAGAAAGACAGTCAAGTTGGAGACAGACGTGAAGAAAGCAACTAAAAAGAAACCAAGGAAGAGAGTTATAAAGCAATGAATTCAAGTGGGTGAAAAAACAGGTGAAAAAAGAGGTGAGATTTCACCACTTCACCTAAATTTATTTTTGTGCTATGTTTTCATACGTGTGAGGGTGGTGATATCATTAATTTTTAAGTTCATTTTTTATTTTATTTTTATATAAATGACGAAAACTATTGAGATAACAAACTACAACGGTCATGAGTTCAAGAATTTGTTCTTCGTTCCTCGTGAAAATACATTCTATCAGATACGAGGGAGAAAGGGTAAAGTTAGTTTGAGCGTTTATGACAACAAACATAATGGGAGATATATAAAAGCAATAGATACAAACGGTAAGCGTGTTTCATTAGCTTTGTCAAAACTTACTAACATTTATTTTGACAGTGACTTTGACTCTGACGATTGGAGTGACAGCAGCGATACTGAAGAATATGAACTATTGTGTGAAGCACAGCAATGGGAAGCGCTGCAATACTTTTGTAAATGAGAACATTAGTGGGAACGTTAGTGAGAACGTTTATTTTTCATTAGTGAAGTCGTTAGTGAAGTCATTAGTGAAGTCATTTATGTGTCAGATGGTTTTGTAAATATTTAAGGTTAAGTTGGGTAAGGTGGAACGCAGTGCCGCCGTACCCAAGTTAACCATACTAACTATTATTGGGTTTAGCAATTGAGAAACAAGGTGATAACATGGTTGCTTTATGTCCTAAGTGTTATACATCATTCAACGGTTCAATCGATGGGAGTGATTTTAAAAAGATTGCACAAAAAATGAAGGGTGTTAGTTTACGACAAAATAAGCAATTAACACCTAAAAAATATTTGGATATAATAAATGATAAAGTGATATTTGATGGTCAGAATATTAATTTACAACTTAAAAACAGGTCAATGACTCGCTTAACAATCGGTAAGACTGCATTAACAGGAGCACACACTAAGGCTGTATGTTGTGAAAATGGATGTTGTATGCCATTTATTTAATACAATTTAAAATTTTATTTTTAATGAAATGCCACAGAAGAGACAAAAGGAACCGTTAATAATGGTTTTGATACTATGATTCAAAGAGGTGGGCACCCTTAAACATTTATTTTATTTTTATATAAATGAATAACACATATTTAAAAATTTTAATTGATGATTTAGTACTTAATCAAAATTTTCTTAGTTATTATGATTTAAAATCATATCTCCAAAAATATGATAACACTATAACGGGTGATGATATGGAATATTATTATCCATATTATAAAAATGAAGTTTTGAAATATCATGATAAAATAATTTCTGAAATTAAAGACAAAATTAAAAATAATGAATATACAAAGGGAAAAACTAAATCACAACTTAAACAGTTGAAAGATTTCAAAAATAAAGTATTAACAGAAGAAGATATTGATGAATTATATAATTTATATAATCCTGAGCCGCAAAAGCAAAAGGAACAAAAACAAAAGGAACAAAACGCCCAGGTTCTTCAGACCATAAATGAAGCACAAGCTTTAATTTATGATTCATTAGTTAAACCATATTCAGCCCGACTTTTAAATGAAGATCAACTTTTGGAATTCATCCTTCAACATAAACTCGAAGCGGGAAAGTATATCAAACCTTTATATACAGCATATTTAAAACAAATGAATAGAATACATCCAGAATTAATGAAGGAAGGAATGAATTCCAAAATCAAAGCAGATAAAATTAAACCACCTGCAACACCAAAACCTCCAACGACAGTACCGCCTCCTCCTTCAGTTAATCCTTCATCATTCACTTTATTATATCCATTTCAAACATTAAAGAAGCAAAAAGATTTTAAAAAGGATTTCAAGATATTAAATAAACCAATTGACCCAAAAATTCAACCGTTAAAGGAAAAATTTAGTCGCCCCTCATTTGCTCCATATCCATATTCATACGAAATCGATCATCTGGAATATTCAAAAGGAAAAGTTACTTATTTATTTGCCATTAACATTAACACTAGATATTTATATTGCATTCCAGTGAAAGGGAAAACAGAACAGGAAACAAGAAGAGCTATTCAATACTTACTAGATCATGAAAGAGTAGATAATATCAGGGGTGATGGTGATAAAGGATTTCAGGCAGCTATGACTCATTATTTCCCACAAATTAATTTTTTCTTTTCATCCTCTCCATATACGTTTCATAATAAAATAGTTGATGCGGTAATGAGAACTCTTAGAGATGCGTTAGGGGTTAACGGTCAGATATACTGGGATGGAAATCATGACTCCATCATACAGCAGTTAGTATATTATTATAATAATACATGGCATAGAACTATAAACATGAAACCAGTGAAAATGAAAAATGATATTTCAAAAGAATGGGAATATATTAGAAAGCAAATGGAAAGGTTGAATGATGTTAAACGTGAACAAATTAATTCGGGGCTCATGAATTTTAAACAAGGGGATAAAGTTTTGATTCATCTCGATTATGGAAAAACTGATAAATCAATGACAAAAAGAAGACGAAGATTTGACACAATAGCTGAATTTGTTAGATATATTAACGGCAATGCATTAGTTGAAGTTGACAATAAATTAATAGAAATTCCGATTTATTTTATTACTCCATTATATTTAAATAATATTTAATTTTTTTATTTCGTAAGAAATGAGTGACAACGAAGCAGCCAAGAGTCCAGACGATGAATATAAAAAGAAACTAAACAAAATTAAATCAAAAATATGCTATTACAAAAAGAAGCCACAATGCGGTGGGGTTGAAAACGATGAAGAAATAATCGAAAAATTAGAAACTTACCGTTCAATCCTTAAACTGAGTGAAGCAAAAATAAAAGAATTTAATAGAATAAATAAATTGATTGGAAGAGATGAATTTAATAAAGATGAATTTTTAAACTCAATCCAAATTTAATTTTTATTCCTCTTTGACAACATCTCTCTTTCCATCATTACTGCATAACCACATTTTCTCAATTTTAGTGGTTTGTTATTTTTAACATGTTCTTGCATCATTTTTATCATTTCCTCCCTTGTTATGATTCGTGGTAAATTTTGAGCTTGTGGGGTATCCATTTATGATAAAAATAAAAATTTGTTATCAGTTATTTTATCGTTAATGTTTACAGGTTATTCAATAATTAATTATTTTTGAAGAACTGAAGGTGCTACCATGTTACCATGTGCTACCAGGTTAATTAACTTCTTTTAAAAAATGAGACAACATGACATTTAGACAACACAGCAGGGGAAGGCAGTTATGAATTATTTTTGAAGAACTGAAGGTGCTACCATGTTACCATGTGCTACCAGGTTAATTAACTTCTTTTAAAAAATGAGACAACATGACATTTAGACAACACAGCAGGGGAAGGCAGTTATGAATTATTTTTGAAGAACTGAAGGTGCTACCATGTTACCATGTGCTACCAGGTCATTTAACTTCTCTGAAAAAGTGTGACAACATGACATTTTGACAACAACACAGGAAATGATTTGTCATGACTTCATCGGAATGAGTGTAAATGACCCAAAAATAAAGTTAGTTTTAAAATTATTTTTATTTTTTTATTTTGTATGTAAGAACAGAAATGTCAGTCGAAGCAAAAACATTCACTAACAAATCTAATGGCGAAACATTCACAAAAGGCACTTATAACGGTATTGAAGTCTTACGTAGAGACAAGGATGGTTACATTAATGCAACAAAGATGGCAAGAGAAGCAGGAAAGTTAAACCATTTAAACAGATTTCTCAATAGTGCTAAAATACAGGAAATTCTTGAGTTTTGGATGAACGAATACGGTGGAGCCAAAAGTGGCTCGACCTCAAAACAAGCATTTTATGAGCTTACTAAGGGTGTTATAAATGAATTCAAAGGTATTTACATACATCCTGACCTCGTTCATTTTGTTGCTGAATGGTGCTCTGTAAAGTATGCATTTTATGTCAAAGATATTATGGACTCCATAGACAAGAAAGTTCATGAGAAATTAGATGAAGAAGAACTTGAAGATACAGTAGAGAATGCTAAACCTTTGTTTGAAGAAGAAGTTGGAAAAATGTGCGAAAAACAATTAGAACATGAACGTGAGTTATGTTATGGTTATAGAGATTCTCCATACGAACTAGACCAATGGGAACAAGAAAATTTAAAGAGAGAATTTAGAGAATATGAACTCGCTAAGATAGCATTAGAAGCTGCAGAAAAGAAGTTAAAAGCTTGGGGTTGTTTTGTACAAAAATATTGTGAGTAAATGAACCATTTATTTTTATTGAATTCACCAAAAATAATTTTTAGGGTAGATGGTTAGATCTAACCTCATTTCTAACCTCATGACATTTTGACAACAACACAGGAGGAAGGCAGTTATGAATTATTTTTGAAGAACTGAAGGTGCTACCATGTTACCATGTGCTACCAGGTCATTTAACTTCTCTGAAAAAGTGTGACAACATGACATTTTGACAACAACACAGGAGGAAGGCAGTTATGAATTATTTTTGAAGAACTGAAGGTGCTACCATGTTACCATGTGCTACCAGGTCATTTAACTTCTCTGAAAAAGTGTGACAACATGACATTTTGACAACATTTACGAAAATATGATGCAGTCCAAAAATAAAGTTAGTTTTAAAATTATTTTTCTTTTTTTATTCCTATATAAATGACAGCAACAAACAACAACAGCAACTATATCGTTTCTGATGAAAAAGTTATTGATTCATTAGTTGAGGAATTAGTTGTGGCAGAAAATAAAACCCTCAACGAAAGAATTGGTGAAAACAAGATTGATTTACATAACTACCTCAAACATGATGGAGGAAGAGGAAGGAAAACTGGTATGCTTTATTAGTAAATAAAATTTCAAATTTAACGATTATAGATGTTGATATCAATAAATCGTACAATGATGAACTTAAAGAAACAGTTAGAAAAGACATTTTATCAAAACTTTCGGATAAAGATGTTATCGTTAAAACCGCTTCAGGAGGTCTTCACATTTATTGCAACACTAATTTCTTCTATGCAGTTTCGAACAGAATGATTAAATGTTATTCCTGCAATGATTATGATATTGACATAATGACTTCTATTGATGATTCAAAGCGTTCATTAGTGGTTATGGCTGATTCAAGAGTTCGCAAGAATGCAACAGAACCAATCAAAACATACTCATTCATTCGTGGAAGTTATGATTCAACATTAACTAGAACAGTAAACGATATATTAAATGATTTGAATATTAAGGTAAGAGTTGAACAGAAGAATGAAGAAATAAAGAGTATAATGAATGAAAACAAAGATGTAAACATTGACGATAAACTAGCTCAAAGCATAGTTGATGGCATCTGTGATTTTGAAGTACATAATGATGGTGGAAACATGAATTTAGAAAAAGAAATAACATTGTTCACACTGTTTCAAGCAATTAATTCGTTACCGGATCATTTAATTAATGAAGCCTACGATAACGTTTATAACTTCTGCAATTTAACTGAAAATGCAAAAAGTAATTTTGAAAAAGCACGTAGTAGATATGCACATTTAATGACTTCTCCATTTGTTTTAGTGAAGATTCTAAAACTATACCAAAAGGAATATTATGATGAATACGTTTTACCTTTATTACGTAAGCCAAAAATAACATTTGATATAAAACTTGATGATTCATTCTTGATAACAGATATTAGACGCAAGGCTGAAAATCATCAGTATAAAAACAGTTCTGAAGTAATTGAGGATTTATCACGTGTAATCCGTTTTGTAGATTGTGGAAACAAATACTTCATTCAAAAGGACTATAATATCCACGATAAAATGAATCAAATATCATTCGTTCTTCAATCAAACATGAAAGAGTCACTTAAAATGATTAAATTATTTAAAGAAGAAGGTAAAACAATAACAGCATGGGACGTACTACTAAATCAATTGTCTTCATTAACCGTTAAGGGTGTTTGCTTTAAATCTGATTCTCCAGATGTTTTCTCAACGTTTCAAGGTTATAAATACAACGTTCTCGAAAAGCCTGATTACTCAAAAATTGAGATGTTTATGAATTTCATTAAAGAAGCCATTTGTGATAATAACGATGAAGTGTATAAATACCTTCTCGGCTGGATTACATCAATGATTCAACATCCTGGAATCAAGAATGAAACAGCAATTATTTTGAAAGGACTTCAGGGAACAGGCAAAAACAGATTTACAGACATTATTTCTGAACTTCTCGCCGGTTATTCATGCAAAAACATTACCGAAATAGGTGAGCTAACGGGTAATTTCAATTCAGTAGTTGAAAATAAAATGTTTCTTGTACTTAATGAACTCAAGAATGTAGGTGAAGACAGACTCGCAAACTTCAACGCTTTGAAATCAATTATTACGGATAATGAGATAAGAATTAATGAAAAGAATCAACCCAGAAGAACTGCTCAGAACGTTGCAAACTTCATTTTCGTAACTAATAACGTCTACCCTGTCAAAATTGAAATTGGAGACAGAAGATACGTAGTTTTAAGAGTTAATGGTAAATTCAAGGGTCAATTTGATTACTTCAAGAATTTAATGGATTCATGCACTAAGGAATTTTATGATAATTTACTGACGTATTTTATGCAATATGACCTTTCATCATTTAATGTACGAATCATACCGATGACTGAAGCCAAACAAGATTTAATCGAGTTATCAACAAATCCTTTAGATGTATGGATAAATACACATTATGATGAATTGTGTGCAGGGATGACGTGTGAAAATGCTCTATTCTGCAAACCATCAGACATGAAAGACAAAAACTTTCAAATGAGTATTAAGGATAAATGTGATAGGAAACATAGAAGAATAGACGGTAAACAAACATGGTGTTATGTTTTGAAAGAAGAAATGAAAGGATTATATAAACAGGTTGAACCAAACGATAATGAGGATTCATTTACTGACGATGAAATACCTGTAAATGAAGCTTTATAAAGTATGATTTGAATTTATTTTTGCATTAATCCTCCTGTGTGTTGTTGTCAAAATGTCATGTTGTCACACTTTTTCAGAGAAGTTAAATGACCTGGTAGCACATGGTAACATGGTAGCACCTTCAGTTCTTCAAAAATAAGTCATAACTGCCTTCCTCCTGTGTTGTTGTCAAAATGTCATGAGTTAAATGACCTGGTAACATGGTAGCACCTTCAGTTCTTCAAAAATAAGTCATTATTGAATAACCTGTGTTGTTGTCAAAATGTCATGTTGTCACACTTTTTCAGAGAAGTTAAATGACCTGGTAGCACATGGTAACATGGTAGCACCTTCAGTTCTTCAAAAATAAGTCATTATTGAATAACCTGTGTTGTTGTCAAAATGTCATGAGTTAAATGACCTGGTAGCACATGGTAACATGGTAGCACCTTCAGTTCTTCAAAAATAAGTCATTATTGAATAACCTGTGTTGTTGTCAAAATGTCATGTTGTCACACTTTTTCAGAGAAGTTAAATGACCTGGTAGCACATGGTAACATGGTAGCACCTTCAGTTCTTCAAAAATAAGTCATTATTGAATAACCTGTGTTGTTGTCAAAATGTCATGAGTTAAATGACCTGGTAGCACATGGTAACATGGTAGCACCTTCAGTTCTTCAAAAATAAGTCATTATTGAATAACCTGTAAACATTAACGTAAACATTTATTTCTGCAGTTCATTCATTACTTCATTACCTAATTAATTACAAACATAAAATATATTTAGTTCATTCAATGAACGCGGTAAGCCTGCAAAGTAGGCTCAAGCACATTCAATAAATGCGGTACCATGCGAATACAGTCATAAATGGTGGCATATAATCTTTACCCAAGCCTGTTGGATTTGTTGTGAAAGTATGTGAATGATTTCCTCCTGGTTCAGTTGGTCGAAAAGTCTTTTTTGCTGAATGGTTATAATCTGGAGATAAAACGTCATTGCCAGCATAATATTCTGAGTTGTATAATGGATGGTCTCTTAATGAGTGACTATGGTCACCAGAAAAGTTTGTAGTTCCTGTATGAGTGTGCGGTGGAAGGTTTGCTTCTTTAATTTTCTTCGAACCTCCTGTTTGCTTTGAAGAGTTCGCACAATAGAGGAATTTATCTACAATCTGTTCCCACATACCGAAACCTAAAACTTCTGAAGGATTTGTTGAGTTCATCGACGTATAAATAGAACCAATGGGGTAAATCATCTCAAGAATTGTATTTAATCCATTATGAATATTGAATTTATTATATAATATTGAATTTGGGTGAGTATTTAAAACTGGTCTTGTTATCAATATTAACGTATTATTTTTGAAAATTGCTTTTCTAACATCTTGAAATTTTGTGATTTCAGACCAGTTTCTTCCATCACTACTGATATTAACTAAATCACCACATCCTAAAGCAATGAAATACCCATCAATATAAAATAAATTTGTAAATCTATAATTTTGAGTAAGTTTTGGAGTGAATGAATAAACCAATTCCCAATTTGATAAATCCTGTGATAAATAAATATGTCTGTTATAACTTACAGGATATGAATAGACCATTTCACCTGAAACGAGAACATAAACATTTGATCCATAACATAAAGCTTCAATGTCTCCATCAGCTTGAAAAATTTGTTCAAATTGACCTTGTGATATTGAAGATGATCTATAAATTTTATCATTTTGTAGGATAAAATACATGTTGTTAATGTAATACCACTTACTTGTATAATCAATTTTCAAATCTGATGACATCATACTAAACATATAATAATTTATCCCATCCTCACTAATGAAAATTTGATTGACTTCATAAATTAGTACCCATTTATTATTAACACATCTAATAGGATTATTTGGATATTTAAATTTAGCATCTTGATTTAAATTACATTTGAACCATTGGATACAATCGAATGAATAACAAGGGCAAAAATCATCTTCAACCGTTATCATTCCCATAAATTTGCCGTTATTATATTCAACATATAAAATTCTTGGATTAATGATTGGCTTTCGTGTATCAGGATTCAAAACAGATGGAGTAAATGATTCATAGTTTTGAAAATCATTTGTTTTAAAATAATAAAGCACTCCAGCTGTATAAAATAAATACATGGTCACTCCATCGAAACATATCCATTCAAAGGAATCTATATCAAAGGTTTTATCTGATGATTTCATAAAATTTAAAAATGGCGGAGTAAAATAGACCTCTGATTGTTTTATTTCTTCATTAACATAAGTTTTATCTGCTTTCTTCTCTAACTCATCGTTAACATAAGTTTTATCCGCTTTAAGGTCTAAACATCCTGAAACCCATCCTGTATCGGCTTTAGTTTTTAAAATCTTTGATGTCCATTCATGATACCATTCAACCCTTTCTTTAATTTCATTATCTTTTTCGTTAACATATTCCTTATCTGCTTTCTTCTCTAACACAGCAGCAACATATTCCTTATCTGCTTTCTTCATTATGTCATTTAGGAAACCTTTTATGAATTCCTCATTTAAATTAAATCTTCCAATCTTCAAAACTTTAGGAAATGCATTTAATGCGTAATATCTTTGTTCTTCTGGTGGAATTGATGTTATATCATCCGTTATACCTTTAATTTTAGAATTCATAAATAAAATTTCTTTTATATTTGATATCACTGCACCACCTTTGCAAACGAATTCGAAATGGTCATTTTTCAATACTATCTCCAAATCTCCATATTTCAACCTTTGCGTTTGTTCTGCCGTCTTTGAATTATATGCATATATGGCGTATGTAATGGTCTGAGGGACCTGGGTGCTTTGTGCCTTAAGTTGCTGTGGTTGCTGTTGTTTAATCATTTATTATGATTTAAAAATAAATATTTAATCTGTTATCTCATCAGCTATTTTTTCTATTTGAAATTGCCATAATATTTCATTCATGAATTCTAAATCACAATCAAATAGGTCAGTTACTCTAAATTTAATATTTGATAAATCTTTTGAATGAAGAATAAATGAATTCCCAGATAATTGAAACGGATATGATAAAGAAAATGTGTTTAAGTTGATGGATAAAATGTTTTGTATTGATGGGTAAGAGTTAGGGTCTAATGTTTGATGTGAAAATCTCATTGGGGTATTAACTTTATCACATTTGATTAAAATGAAATTGGAACCAGTGTCAGAATACAAAACATCCCCAACATCTTTTTCAAAATTTAATATCCCCAACAATGAACGAAGATGAGGAGTACAAAATTTAATTTTCAGCGGAAATTTAATAAGGTTATTTATTTCATCAAGTTCAAAAAGTTTATCAGGTTTTGATTTAAAATTTTCTTCATACCATATGATAAATGATTCATTTAAATAACTTAAAATCATGTTAATATCCCATTTCGTTATCACATTATTTATATACATATCATACGTTTTTTCATGGTCATCTTTAATAAATGATATATAATCTGAAGGGTCTAAAAGAATGGGATTAAATTTACCACTCACAGAAACGAGAGTAACATTATAAATTCCGCTAACTGTTAAATTTAATTCACAGTTATTATTCGAAATAATATTGATAATTGACATTTTTATTACGATTAAAAATATGGTAAAGCGTTATTTTCCAGTGATAAATAAAACTAGAATAAGATTACCTCAAGAATTCATAAATTCAACGAATAAGAAATTCATTCATGTTATAAATTTTAGTGTTTTCAGAAAATATGAGTCGATGTCATATTCATCATCGGGTTATATTTCACTTCATTCAAATTTAGTTCAATCAAATCCATATAATGACCATTTCATAAGATTTTCAGATGGTATTAAAAATGTAATTGATAGATTAAAATATGAACAGATTGACAATATCGAATTTTTGGAATTTTGGTTTAAATATCCCGATGGAAAAAAGATTGAAGTTAAAGATAAAGCTGATACTATAACAAAAACAATTACAATGACCGATCCGGATAGTGGGGAACAAAAAGAAATAAAACAAACGATAGAAACCGGTGAAAGGTCAATTATTATTGATTATGATTCAAAGGATTATTATTCGATAATGTTAATGCTTGAATATTAAATAGCCTTAACAAAGAATTTTTCAAGTGATATTTTATATTCATCAACTATTTTATTATAAATATCATTATATGTTAAATGAAGTTCAGTTGTTGTTCCGTTCTTTGATATCTTAATTGTGCTAATATCCTTTATAGGATTTATTTTTGCAACTGTTCCGCAGCATGAAACCTCATCATCTATGAAAAATTGAATCTTAACGTCTGAATCTTGAACATCACAAAGAATGGCGATAATGTGAATTAATGATTCATAAGGTAAAATAATTAAACCGGATTGGTCAATTAAATTTATTATTGAATCATAATTATTAATTATTATATCACGGTAAATTTTCATTAATTCAGAATTAATGTCTATTTTATATGGTGCATTGCGACTGGAATCGTAGATTCCTGGGTTCTCGATGTTTGATGAAAGAGGTGGGGGTATGTTGGATAAGTGGGAATTTCAACAGGTTCTTTACCGGGTTCAGATAAAATGATTGGGTCTCCATTCTCATGGTTTTCTTCATTCTCCTCATTCTTCGGTAAGTCACGAGTTAATAAATTTGGTTGAGTTGCTGACCTAGTTAATTCAGGGCTAACATTAACTTTAACATTTTGAATAATTCGTGATTTATCATCATTTACGTTATAACCAACCGTAATCTCTGCTTTTGCGTTAGTGTTCTTTTGACTTGTGAAACGTCTTCTCATTTATAATTGAATAAAAAAAAGAAAAATATATTTAAAGTTTTATTTAGTTGTTACGGTAATATCCCAAGGTTCATCATTGTTTGCTTATACTTTCTTTGTAACTGCACCAATTATGTTATTGATATTGCTTTGAGTCTCTTCCAGTCTTATTTTATCATTTACAATATCTTTAATCATTTCATTACATGCATTCTTAAAACCATCTGATTTTTTCTAATTTACGTCTATCACTTTCTTTAATTAAATCAAAGTTATAACCTTGTTGAGAATAAAGTGGTTTCTTTATCAATTCCTTGAACGCTTCTGAAAGTGAAGATGAAGAAATTCTTGCCACTTGAATTGGTTTAAATTCTGCTTTCATTGCTTCTTTCTGTTCATTGAACACTGGATCGAATAAAGCAACTTTAAAGAATTTCTTAGCTGGAATTTCAGGTCTCAAATTTGCATATTGACATCAAACTGATTAACATATCGTGGTAATCCATCCGGTCCCTCTTCAATAGCATTTAATTCTTCATTGAAATAAGAATATGGATTATGACGGTATGAATTAATTGGACCATTTTCACCTTCTCCAATGTATTGTTTAACAGCTTTTCCATTTTCATCAAATTTCATAGGATAACGTTCATTATATGCTTTACGTTTAGGATAATCAGTTATAGTTAATTTATACCCATTTATGACTTTAATATTACCTTGACCATCAGTAACAAGACTTCATTTATTCCATCAGGCTTTCCATTTGGTCCTGTAATGTCTGCTTCATGTGCTTCCCAATTTGGTCCATGACGTTTGGCATATTCTGAGCTTCTGTAATGTTAAAACGTTTCTCATTTGTTTAACATCCTTTTGAAGACCGGCAACAATGTGGACTAATTCTTTCATTCGTCTGGAACTTTCATAGTTCTATTATATGCACCCTTTTTGTTTGTCCTTGTTTTAATGGAACCTGTAGAAGATTTGCTATTTCTGTCATGTTTAATTATAAATAAAAAATAAAAATTAATTATAAAAAGTTAAATTTAACACATCCTTTATTTAAATCAACTATTATTTTTCCATGTTCACCTAATTGCTGATATTGTGTGTAAAGTTCATTAATGCTCATTGGTAAATTCACTTGATAAAGCATAACGTTCAACTGTTGACGACTAAAACCACTGAAAATGAAAAGGGTGGACAGGTTTGATTTAATGTTTGTGCTTAATGCTTTGAAATATTGAACAGCCATAAAGAATGAACACTGAATGTGTCGACATTGAGTTAATAACTGATTAAAATATGATTTCTCATTAGTTATTAGTTTTGATTTCACGGCATCATCTAGAAAAATGAGTGAATGCAAAAATTCTCTATCAAAATTTGAAATAGAAAGTGTTTCAAATAATTCATCCGTTGTTTATCAATAATTTTATCCTCTAATCCTTGCTTCTTGATTGTATTATATAATTCTTTATACATTAAAAAGTTTTTTAAATAATCTTCTGCTTCTTCTTGTGATAAATAAATAATTGGAATTTTGATTAAATGCTTTAAAGATTCAAATGTATCATCTGAAGGTAACCTGAATGGTTGATATAAATTAACACATGTGAATAGGGGAAGTGTTAGCAATAATGATAATTTGTTTTAATATCGTTAATGTTTTACCTTTATTTTGTTTACCAATTGCTGCAGTGATTGAATTTAAGTAACATTCAGAATATGGAATTTTCATTAATTTTTCCTTAGATAGAGCATTTCTATTATCACTCAATGCTTCATTAATCATATCATCTACGTATGTATTATATATTCCTGCTAATTCTTCATAAGGGGTGGATGAATTTAAATCCATTTAATCAAAAATAAATTTATAATTTTAAACATTTCTATTCATCAATATTTCATCATATGAACTTCTATACTGTGGTGGTGTACCTGTTGGATGATATTTCAAACCTTCGTCCGGTGTCCATGTCCAATATGTAGTCCTAGTAAACCAAACCTGAGGAGGATTTGTCACCTTTGAACAGTAAGTGTCATTTTCACCCTGAATGATTGGATAAGCTTTCACTTGTACTGTAACTTGTGAATTGAAAGTTTCTAATCCATCAAAGAATATACCTGCTCCATCACGTTGAACTGGAATAGTGCATAAGAATGAAGTTTGGTCTTTCCATGTTCTAGCTAATGGCATGCCTTTATTATCATTCAGTGGTCTAGTTAATGAGTCCTCGTATTCTTCCGTGCATTCATTCACTCCATCTAAATCAGAAGCTTGAAGCATACGTGTAAAGAATATGTCGCCCACTGTGGTCATCGCTTGATCGGGGAAGTTTCTGGAATCTATAGTGACCTGAAGACCTCGAAGCATTGGATTTTCTAAAACTGTTCTTTGCATTGCATTCTTTGGAAATGTTAACACAACATCTGTAACATTATGAAGAGCGTATGAGAAATCTGAGCTAATACTTCAGGAGTGATGCAACCTCCATTTAGTGAACGAACGTCAATATGTTGAGCTGGAATCATGAATGGATCTTCCTTACTAAATAAACGTGGTATTGCTTTAATTGATTCTTCAATTAAACCGTATCCTGGTGTAATGCATTTATCCTCTAAAACTTCCATCTTTGTGCATGAAATAATAACGTTATCAACTGTTGCGTCAGCAGATGTAGCGGCTAAGCTTGTAATTAATTTGGCAGGAAGTCCGATTTGTTGGAATTTGCGATCATATTTATAAACATGATTCATAATCTTTTCATAATTTTCATCAGTTATCTTTTCATAAACATAATTTTGTAAATCAGCAACTCTTAACGGGTCAACCTGACAAAATACTAAAGTATCCCTGAAAACATAATATTTAAGAATGATTTCACCAAATGATTTAGGATAATCATCGAACGCCTGAAATGCTAACAAATCATTTACCGGAATAATCATATCAAAAGTGACATCAACTTCTTCATTTGCATTCTTGAAAACTTCTGAAGGGTCAATATATTTACCACATACTGAGTTATCATATTTTTGAACATTATTATATAACGAATGAACAAACTTTTTAACTTTCCTTTCTGATTTTGGTTTATATGTTGCAAATGCGAAAGATTCACGGGCACAATCCATTTGAAGATAACCGGCATCACCTCTTTCGGTTTCTACTTCTAATTGTTTAAAGCTTTGATTTGATGATTTGTAACCAACGAATAAACGCATGCATTTAAAAGCGGCATCACATGTGAAAGCTTTATTTGAAACTAGAGTTGCTTTAACTTTGCGTTTAATATATGTGTCACCTAATTGGTTCACATCATGAGCCGGATTTGTAATTCTTAAATGAGTTTGTTTATCATCAAAATATGGAGCATCAGAGTCATAGCATGAACTTTCAAGTTCTCTATAATATCTTCTACCGTCATTCTTTGCGAATATTTCATTTATCTTTTCGAATGAATGAAACACATTTCCATTAATCGGTTTAGTGTTTGGCACCAAATAGTTAGTCGTCATTTATTAATAAATAAAAAATCAAAATTAAAAGATGAAAATGAATTTTTAATTTTAATGAAATAATCAACTATGGCTGCAGGTATATTTAAGAAACTGTGGGATAGAGTAAAAAGAGGAGCGAGTAAAGTTTGGGAAACATTGAAGAAGGGAGCAAATTGGATATTTAAGAATAAAGAAGCAATTAGTGACGTTGCTGAATCAATAACACCAAAAGCTGCCCCAATAAGAGAAGTTTTAAATAAAGGAGAAAAAGTTTATCAAAGACTACAACCAATACTAAGATAAAAATAATATTTATTTATTTTTCCACTATTTACCTCCTATTTTATTAAGTATTCCTTCAGCAATTCCACCAATTGCGTTACCTGCTTGTGCTCCCATCGCTGGATTACCTGCTTTAGTACCTAATACCCCACCTATGATAGTTCCTGCCGTTTTCGCTACTGGTGCTAAAAAGTTTGCAATGGGTTTAATAATATTTTTATGAACCCAACCCGCAGCTTTCTTAATTCCATCCCATAATTTTTTAAAGAATCCTGCAGCCATTTCTGATTTAATATTAATTAAAAAATATATTTCATCACTTATATTCTAATTTTTATTTAATGATAAATGAAACCGATTTTAAAAATGAATGAAACAGAGGAGGAAGAAATAAATGAAAGTGAAGATGTTCAACAAAAAATAAACGTTGTTAAACCAATTACTGAAATAAAAATTTTTTCATCTGTTGAAGAATTTAATGACTATTATGCTAATAATAAAAAATTATTTGAAGAATTGACAACATGTAAATTGAATAAAATGTTTAAAGTTGATGGATTCAAAATTTCAAAAATAAAAGGAGTGGTTAGTTTGAAATCTATTCCTCAATCAAGAATCACCTCATTAATGAAAATAGATGATTTAACAAAAAGAATAGAAGAGATTGAAGAAAGAATAAATCAAATAATTGATATCATAAATTCAAATAATCATTAATTTCAATTTCAATTTCTTTTTCTCGTTTATGAGGTCTTTGATTATGACTTTATTAATTCCATTCAGGATTTAAACAATGTTTAATTAATCGCGGAATATCTGACATCATCTATATATAGCTTCTTTTAATGATTTATGTTTGGGTTGAGTGTAAATGTCTTACAATTTTGAAAATTTTTAAATCTTGATTTATTCAAAAATGTAAGAATAAAAACCGTAAGAATCATACATTTTTTACTTCATATGTTAAAAAAAATGATACAAAATCGTTCAATATTGTATGAATTCTTACGTTTACAAAAAAAGTCACACAACCCGTCCACATATACTACTAACGTCATTCTGTGATGACTGAAGAATTTCGGCTTTTACAGAATCAACTAGAGAAAGAAGTCTCGATTCAATACTACCTTGCGACGTTATCACAGGAAACATATTCGAGGACGAAGAATGTTATATTAGATAGTAACGATTTAACAGAATTTTCTTCGAATGAAATTATTAGATTTTCAAGCATGCGTCCAAAACAAGAAGAACTCTATGCACAGCTATACACAGATATTTTACGTGATAAAAGCATGAATGCAATATTTATTAAATCTATCAAAACAAATTATACAAGTTTTAGTCGAAGAATTGTCGATCTTTCAGGTATACTTTTATCAGCAATGGATTTTAAAGGTGATAAACAGAATCAACTTGCTTTTGCAGATTTAATTCCAAATTATTACGCAGATAGTGATGACTCGGTACAAAAAGTTACAAAGCAATGGGTATATGAAGCATACATACTGAATTCAGTTGGACATATTTTACGTTATGATAATATCGATCAATTAAGAGAAATTCATGGTTCTACATTTGATGTAAATCAAAGAATACCAAATGGAGAATTTGAGTGTTACAAATATCCTACAATGCCACTGATTTCTGTCGCTGCAAGATACGGATCTATCAAATGCTTCAAATTTTTACTGATGAACAAAGCCTTGATGGATGAGGAAACAGCAAGTATGGCAGTATCATCAGGCAATTGGGAAATAGTAAAAATTTGTGAACAATCAAAATTATCTTTCGAAGACGCATCAAGTGCAACAACTTTTCATAGATATGAGTTGATTAAATGGTTATATAAGAAAACACATAATCATGTCATCTCTCTTACTAATATTGAGTCATTAATGACACTTGATCGAATTAAAGATAAAGAATCAATGTTATTTACTTTAGTTCGTAATGGGCTGTTTAAACCCGCCAAATTTTACATATTTAATGGTGTCAAAGTCAATATTTTAAATGATGGAAAAACTTTATTACAAACTGCTCGAGAAAAGAAAAACAAGAAGTTCAAACTGTTCTTATTACAACATGGAGCTCTTGATGACGGCCAAGAAGATAGCGATGATGAAGATGAAACAAATGAAAATGATAATTCAACTTTTTATTTCGATCCTAAACTTCTAAATGCATATGATATATCTGAAGTTGTTGACAATCCAATCTATCAAAAAGCTGCAAAAGTTCAAAAACTTACTGAAGATTTAATTAAAACTGATAATATCACGGATTTACCATCAGAACGACTCAAATGGTTAAAAACATTTTATGGTTCTGAAGCTGCTTTCGTTCCTCACTTCAATCCTAATGATGTTCCAACAAAAGAAACCTTTAATTTGAAAGTTGAACAAGAATTCCAAAGACAAGTTGCTAAAGGTCTTGTTAATCCAGAATATAGTGCAGCATTTTCAACAATGCCTACAAAAAAGGAACCAGAAAAGGCTGTTCAAACTATTACTTCAAATAGAAAGAAAGTTCAATACACATGGTTTCCAACAGCTGAAATTAATACTGCGAAAATGACAATTGACTCTCTTCCACATGTGAATGCAGTACAAAGACAAGAACTGCATAGAAAATTTGCGTTGCAAGTTATTAACATCATTTCACAGTTTGATGCCATTGGAGAACTATCTGATGATAAGATTACAGTTGAACAAGCAAGTTTACTGAAACAAACTTTAACTGATGCGTTGTCTGAAGTTAAAAAAGCACTTTTTAAACCATTTGGTAAAAAGTTGAATGAAAATAGAGAACCATTATATGCTCCTCGAGGTCTAATATCCGATGACAGATCAATTAAGCCTTTAAGAGACAAAACTTTGGGAACAATCTCAGATGAAATCCTTAAAAGTAATGGAAAACGCGAAACTTCTGGTCCAGATTTAGGTAGTTTCGCAGCAAATCTTGAAGAAGTAGAACAATTACCACTAGAATACAGACCAATTCCTAATTCTCAGCTGAAAAAGTTTGATTATGAGTCATTTGATAAAGCAGTTGAAGCAGCAAAACAAGATGTATTCAAAAGAGGCTACATCAAGACAGAAAGACCAAAAGAAACTCCAACAACGAAAAGAAAAATCACGGTTTTATCAACACCAAGAAAACCAGAGAAACCAAAGGCAACAGAAAACTTGGAGTTCAAGCCAAAGAAGAAATCCAAGAAAGAAATCAAAGTCCCAGCCAAAGAAGAAAGGAAACCAGTCACTTTGGACAAATTCATGACTCCAGAAGTCAAATTTTTCATTGCTGGAAAGAAAAACCTCAAAACAGAGGAAAGACAAACTCCTGATGTCAGTTACTTGGACAAAATGTTCACAACAAGACCTCCTGATGAAGTATTTCATGTCACAGCTCCTCAAGAAACTATTCCTCTTCCAAAATTCGAGAAAAGAAAGCCAGAAGTACAAAAAGGAAATTATTATCTCAGACCAAACGAAAAAGAAATTTCGGAACTTCTCGATACTTCAAACTTGTTCGTGAACGAAGAAAAGCCTGAAGAGCATGACCAGCTCACAGAACTATGGGAAGTTTTGAGTCTTCATCCTGATAGTCGTTTGTTGATGGCTTCTAGATTGTGTTCAATTATTGTAAATGATTCAACAAATGATTATCACTTTAAGACAATTAAACAGACTACGAAATTGCTTGTTAAGTACAAGAAATTATACAAGAAGATCAAAACAACACTGGGATATGATCCGAAGGCTATCACTCCTGAAGGAACAGAAACTCTTAACAAATCTGTTAAAGAATTGTTGGTATTGATAGGATCTTTGATACATGCTGATAGAGAATTGACACAGATGCTTGGAAGTCCTTTGATTACATCAAAAGGATTTAGAATTCCTGAATATTTACATCATAATAATTTGAAACTCCTTAAACTTGCTCAACAAGCAAATATTGACATTGGAACACTAGGTGTTTCTGAATAACTATGATATTTTGTTTTTATTATAAACTGTTTGTATGAATATTATTTATTTTAAATATGAATCTTTTTGCAATGTTTTCATTCAATGCTTAACAACAAACAATAGAATTCTATTCTTTTATTGATATAGTTACAATGTATTTTGCACTAATTCTAAAAATATTTGGAATTAAAGCACAATTAACTCTTTAAGATTCTTGCTGTCGAATACAATTCTCTGATGTATAGTTCATTACTTGGAAATTAATCATTTTTAATTAATGATTCCAGAAGAAGGAATCTTAGAAGAAATATCAGATTTACGCCAAAAATGTTCAAAGTTGAATGCAGAAATAAACGATTTAAAACTCAAACATGAACAGAAAGTTGATAAAATTTCACATTTAAAGGAAATGAATTCTAAAATCAAAGGTCTTATTGCTGAAATGGATGAAGAACTTAAATTATCCAAGTCTGACGATGAAGCATCACTTAGAGAGCAAATAAACCAATTAGAACAAGCAATAATTAAAACTCAAAATGAACAAAAGCATTTTATACTCGAAACAAATCGATTGAAAGAAGTTGAGAAGTTACGATCAGCATCACGTGCTCGGCAAATGCTATATACTGACATGTCAGCACAAATAAATAATAACGGAAATATCCCTATTTCATCATTAATTCTACTACGTCATGACTTAGAAAAGGAATTACAAGAACTTATTTCAAAGGATGCGCCTACTTATGTAATTAACAGAAAGAAAGCTCAAATTGTTCATTTACTAGACGTTACAATCTAAATTAACATAATTATCTCATACTTCTCAATCATAGCTATGATATTCATGCGTGTTTGTTATATTACCATTAGATTCAAGATTTGTCTAATTCATCAGAAAAATTAGTGAAAATAACTTATGCGGGCGCTACATTTTGTTAATTTTGAAAACTTGTAAATAATTCTCGATGATGAAATCGCTAAAAATACCAGAAAAATTTGTTATATCACACTGCATTTCCTTACAACAGTCACAATCTTGTTCATTATTCGATTGCAATGACATTCTTTCAAAATCTAGATAAAATGAAGAAAAATAAGACATTTTTAAAATATTATTTGTTTTCTCTAATTTGTTTTGTTCTATTATAGGTAATAAAATAGAGTGTTTTTAAAATAAACTATATTTATCAACTTTGTGAGCAAATAAGAAGAGAATAATTTCAAAGAAAGTTTGAAGTACAATTTAATAGTATGAAGGCTTCTTCTCGCCATCTTCAACAGTTGGGAAGTAAGCTAATGGCTTGGAATTGCTTTCTCTATGAGGAGCTTTTGAAACTTTTTTGTTCTTGAGGAGAAAAGCGAATCCGGCCAAACCAACAATGACTACACCGATAACGATACCGATGATGATGTATGGTAAACCGCTTGACTTTTGCTGATTTGCTCCTTGGATTGGTGACCAGCTCTGCTGATCAAAGGAGATGGCAAGCTTTGTAAATGGAGAATCTATTGATGGGCAGAAGATCTGTTTGACGTTAACAACTGTTGCTTCAACAACTGAATCATCATATTTGCAGAAAGCCTGCTTTGGATCTTTCTTGAAGTAGAAATTAGGAATTCTGTAATTAACAACAACAAAATTGGATTTGTTGATGTTTTTAACGTTATAATTATTAATTTTTGGAATTCTAGCAATGCAATTGCCTGGATATGAGCATTGACTGACTGAATCGCACTCTTTATCGCATTTCCAGCATCCTCTCTTATCAATAGTAGAATCTGAAATGTAACCTTTCTTGCAAACACGAGATCCATCTTGTCTTAAGTCTGTGTTGGGGAATGAGTCATCAATTTGGTCGAAACTTCCATCTTGAGGCATATCAAAATTGAAATCTTGATGAGAAATAGGATTTTCGCTTCCTTGCTCTATACGTGACTTTCTATGTCTACGAGATCTATGTCCCATAGCATCGCGTGGTGCAGAAAGAGCGGAGAATAATAGAAATGGAATCAGAATCATATTTGAAATTTGTCAAAAAAACCGTCGACATTTGACAAAAGTGAGGAATCTGATAGATGTCAAAAATCCGTTTAGGTTATTCGCTATAAAGACATAATATTATCAGGATATATCTATGAGAGAATATATGCCTATTTACGCCATTATTGGCTGGAATCATAATATACATTATGAAACTATCTTCTCAATCCTCAAGGTTAGTTGAGATATTTGCTCATATGTTATAAAAATAGTATCTATTTGCATTAACCAGATGTTATGTTTGATCTACTGACATAAACGTTGAGATGTTAACTATCTCTTTGAACTTATGTGCTGGGTTAGTTTTTATAGTTAGGATTTGTATTAACTAGTAAAGGTTAACAATATTCCAGTTATGATGTGCTTGTTATTTATATTCTTGAGTTAATAGTTTAATATGAAGCATCTAAGCAACGCATTAATAGCAGATTTCAGAATAAAAGTACTATTCATAAACCATAGAAACAATTTCGATGCTTGATGAATACTTATTACGTAGAATTCTACAATGGGCAATTTGTTTTTAAAAACGATGAAAAAAGTAACAACATATGATGAAATTTTTAATGAGCAAGACTACAATATGATTATTAAAAAAAATATAATAAAAAAAAGATGTATTATAAAACAAAAAGGTAAATTACAATTATTTTCTAACAATAGCTTATTAAAATCTATAAATTTTTCGTTTGGAAAGTAATAAAATTTCTCATCTCCTTCTTCTTCTTGATTGTGAAGGCTGTGGCACTACACCATCTCCTATTGCTGGCTCTTCAGGTACCTCATCAGGAACAGGCGGAAGTTCTTTGATATCGTTCTGATAAGTGAAACCTTTGACATTGCCCTTGAACATTACGACCATTGTTGAGATATTGTCCTTACTTCCGAGAGCAAAGGCAATATTTCTCAACATTGAAGCTGCATCTTGAGCACTTGTTGAATTTCGGATAATTTCAGCGGCATTGTCATCAGTAATGACATCCCAAACACCATCGCATGCAATGATGAGTCCGACATCCATCTGGTCGTCTAATGTAAAGTGTTCTACCTCTGGAGGTACAAATAATCCTTCGTGGTCGCACCAGAAGTCGCCAAGAGTACGGGCAACAGCAAGTTTACGCTGGATTCTGCCTTCAACGTTGACAGTTAAGCCTGCTTCTCGTAATCTTTGGTATTCTGTCCTCATTGTTGGTTTGTAGTCGGTAGTTAAGCGGATTGTTCTGTCTTTTCTGACTAATACAATGCGCGAATCACCAATTCCTGCCGTGTAAACGGTTTTGCCACGAATAAATGCAGAAACGGCTGTGCAGCCATCCTTTATGTTCAAGTTCTTCAGGAGCTTGTTGATTTGGCAGTACGCGGCTGTAATTGTCTTTGGAACGTCGGCATCTGATGCATTGACTGTATGAAGGAGAAGTTCGTTCTGTAAGCAGTGCGCGCTTGTTGCTGCGGCTACTTGACCTGTATGGCCATCGAAAAGTGCAAAGAGATGTTGATCGTCTTTGAATTCTTGATAAGTTATCGCATCTTCCATCGTTGGACGAACGCCCATTGTTGCGGAGTAGCCAAGACCGAACCTGTTCGAAAGAGACATGTGGTGGTCGGCCATGATGTGGAAACAGACTGGAGGAATATGTTGGTTCTTATCTGCCTTGGTATTGAGCATCTCGAAGCTGGATGGTGTTGTTGCTGACTCGAGAAGAGATGTAAGAGTGTCGGGGATGTTGACGGAAACTGGGTTACAGTTGATAGAAATAAATTTGGCGGCAGGGAAATGGGTAGGATTGAAGGAAGTGATCTGGTTGCAGTCAAGATTGATGGATGTAGCGCATGGAAGGTCGAAATCGAACTTTGTCAAGCGGTTGTAGGATAAATCGAGAACATTTATCGTAGTTGGGAATTCGAAGTCATCTGGTATATCGGAAATGAGGTTATGGGCCATAGAGAACATCTTGAGTGATGTAAAGAGCTTGAAATAGGAAGGAAGACTTGTTAAATGATTATTTGATGCATCAAAAGTCTGAAGGAAGAAGAGAGATCCGATTCCAGCAGGTAAATTGGAAAGCTCGTTGTTCGCGCATATCAAAGAACGAATCTTTGAATAAGAAACAACGCAACTTGGAAAAACTCTGAATTTGTTTCCAGAAATGTTGAAATCGGTAATCTTACTGCATGACGAGAGGGAGCGTGGTAAAGCGGTAAGTTCGTTGAAGGAAACATTGAAATCGGCAAAGTAAGAATAATCATTGAAACAATCTGGGATTTCTTTCAATCTGTTGAAGGAAAGATTGAGAGTCCTCAGATGTGTGCACGAAATTGCAGGGAATTCCTTAAGCCTGTTGTTTGTTATCTGGAAGAAATCAAGATTCGTGCAATTGGTAAATGTTTTTGGCAATCTCTTGATCTGGTTGAAGTTGAGTATCAAGCGGCTGAGAACTGGCTTCTCTGGAAAGTTATCTGCAATTTCCGTTATCTCGTTGTTATTTGCTATGAGCTGAGCGAGTTTTCCGATGGATCCGATAAACTTGCTTCCAAGTTTAGTGATATTATTGAAAGCAATGTCTAATGCGGACAAAGTATCAGGTAATTCGAAATTAAGCTCGCCCTTGATATCGCAGTAGCAAATTGAGAGTCCTCTGAGGCCAGAGATGTTGAATATCTTAAGAGGGAACTTTCCAAGTGGGTTAGATTGAACACTCAAGGATGTGCAGTTGAAAGAGTCATCAAAATCCCAATCTTTGAGATTATTCATGTATAGGTTAAGCTGCTTGAGAGATTTTGGAAGATTCTTTGGATCAAACGTTTCAAAGTAGTTTCCAAATAATGAAAGTTCTTCCAGTTTCTCAAATTCGTCAAAGTAATCAGGGAGTTCGGAGAGGCAGTTACCGTCGAGGTGGAGCGAACGCAGTGTTGGGAGCCACGTTGGCTTGATCTTTGGAAGGCTCTTGATGTCACAATGGGTAAGTTTCAAAGTCTCCAGGTTTGGAGCATTGAGATTCCAGATATCATCCAGGTTGATATTTGGATTGAAACTTAAGTCTAAAGTAGTTAACGATTGTTTGAAGTTACAGTTAAATTTGGTGATGTTATTCGCTGTGAGATTCAGCGTTTGGAGGTTATCGAATCTCATAAATGCGTCTTTTGGAAGATTGTTAAGATTATTATCGACAAGGTCCAATTGTGAAATACAAACGTAAGCATCAAGGCCAGTAGGTAACTGTGTGAGCCCACAGTCTGCGAAACGTGCTCTGGATATTTTTTGAAGTATTTCAGGAACATATGGAATGATTTTAACTATTTTGTTAACTATTTCGAAGCTTGATAGGTTAGGATTCATAAATACGCTCATTTGCACTTCTTCACGAAAAACAGCCCGATTGTCATTAACGGGCTGGGTCATTTTTAATTATCGTGAATTATTGTAGAAAAAAAAATTGATAGATATATAAAGGCAAAAAATTGCCCTTTCTTTTTGATTCCGTTTCAAATTTAAACGAATCGTAATCAGATTATTTTGATGTTTGATTGTAGGATGTTATTGATTTATTGGATATTTTATTCCAGAAATATTATGAAAGCAAAAGCAAAAAAATTAGATGATCAAATAATATTGAAAAGCGCTCACCCTTAGATGTCCAATAGAATGATGAAGTATTTCATAATAAAATTAAAGTGATGTCAATTTTGTAGGATAAAATTAAGAAATGAAATGATTTTTAAAATAATATTTATGCTTATTAAATGATTATTTATGCATGATTTATGGTCATTCAAAAAGTTATTTTGAAAGCGGTATTGAATGACATTCAAAAACATGATGATATCTGGCCAAATCACTTTCCTGAGTTAATCCATTATTGGTAGATATTATCCAAAATTAATTTTGTGAGAATTACGTTCTTTGATATATTCAATTATTTCAAAAATCATTTTTTTATCTAACAAATACGAAATATATATGTCGATTTGCATATTAAATATGACGATCAAATTACTTTTTGATAAAATAAAATCCTCATTCACAAAATAATTGAAATCGATCATTTTTGTGAATTTTATGCGAATTTTTTTAGGTGAGATGCTTGATTTCTGAAATCAAATCGAAATCACTTGGAATTCTAGTGATCAATTTTATCAATTTCTTTACCATTAAATCATGGCTTGAGGCTGTTGTTGATTCTGAATGCTATAATTTTTATTCAAAAATTCTTTTCAAAATTTTATTTTTTAGGGGGTTATTCTCATTATTTTGAGCAAATTTGCAACAATACAGATATTTCGTGAGCTTGATTTAAAATAAAACATAATTAATAGGAAATATCCCCATGGTCCTGATGAAATCAACCTGACTAAGAATAATACATATCTTTATTTTGTTTTACTGAAGTTTTCCCTATAGGAATTTGATGAGTATATCGAATTTTCCAAAATATAAGTTCTGAACAGATTACTTAATATTAGGTTTACTAATCTATTTACTTTTCCTTAGTCTTTTTGAGCATCATCAATCATCGCAAATTCCTTATCTTTTGTAAAAAATAAATTACAATATTAATTGTATAGGTTTCGAGTTTTGACATAGCATTTTAAACATATTGATTAATTAACTTGATATATCTTTCATTTTATTTTTATCATTTGATATTTTTAGAAATTGTTCGGGATCCACTATTTATCGCACTAGCTAACATCATCCAAGCATGTTCTTTGTTTCCAAAACATATTTTTCATGAGATTAATATCAAAGATATAAATTTTTCATGAAAGAATCCAACAACATATCATTACATGCCTTACTTAATATAAATATTAATTCCAAATTGCACAATTTAGCAAATCTCTAAAAAAACGTGTAAAAAATTTTTTGTTCAATTCAAAAATAAATGTTTCGATTACTTTTCAACAATAAAGAATTTAAAGAGAGAATTAGCACTATGTCAACCAATGATGCTTTGCAGATATCTTCTGTCGGAGCAAAAAGAATTCTTTGTATTCTTGACGAATGCAAGAAAAGAGTTGAATTTTCATTATTATTACCAACAATGGCAGATTTTATTGAATCAAACGATGAAATTCCACCAATTATCAAAGAATACTCTGCAGAATTTCATGCACATCAACAATATTTGTCATCAATCATGACAACAGACGGATATCCAAAACCAGGATTCGAAGATGCATTTGAAGAAGAAGTTATGATATGTCAAGAGCTATCTCGTGAATTGGTACGTGAAATGGATAACTATCATTCACTATTTCAACCTATTGTTCAACAAAGAGACTCTGCTGTAGGTTCTAAACCAAAAATTGTTCAATACCTAGAAGAAATGATAAACTTAGAAACAGAATTTTTCTCAAAACACGTAAAGGAAGATAAAAAGAGAAATAGAATCGTTGCAGAAATCCAAACAATGGAAAAAATCAATAAAGAGCATATTGACGTACTTAAGCAAAAGGATATACAACTTAATAGAGAAAAAGATATTAAAATACGTGCAAAAGAAGAAGAATTAGATTCATTAAAGAAACAATTAGTACAAGCAAGGTCAATGGAAGTTCCTATCAATACAGAAGAAACAAAAGAAGATGAAATTGTATCTCATGAAGAAAATCTCAAAGCAGAATTTGGTGAAGTTAATAATCAAATGGGAAAAACACAAAAATCTCATCATGATGATGAGAACGCTTCACGAAGATTGATCAGAAAAGATGAAGAACAGCTTCAACATCTAATTACAAAGTATGATACAGAAATGGCAAATTTAGGAAAAGAATCGACGCTTGCCATGCAAAAAATGCAAAAATTAGAGAGTGATGTGGCTGTTTTAAGGACATCTTTGGCGGAAATCAATGAAAAGAGAGCTCCTGCCATTGCTGATGAAAGATATTTTTCACAAATGCATATTAGACAGTCAAAACAGATGTATGACATGCTTGAATCAGTTAAGACAATCCAAAATTATGTAAGACTATTCTTAAAAACGGCTCCGAAGCCTTCAAAGTCGAAAAAGAAGAAATGAATTTCTTATTTACTTTATTTTATATTTTGTTTGTAATTTACTCTAAATTTGTTTGAAATTATCATATATTTATACTATCTCTTTGGTTATATCTTGCTTATTCAATATTTTGAGTGATCTTAATGAGAAATTCAAAAAAGGTACTTGCAAATAGGCATTTTTCTTCATTAACTCCAATATATTGCATAAATGATATGTTTCGTTATGATACGATTTTAATCAATTTCAATTCAATCACTCAGATTGAATTTCAAACAGTAATAAAAAGTATGCCCATAGAAATTTTGTACAAGATAAACTGATTTTCGGAAATACTTACTGTAATAGAGTTTCTCGACACTAAAATTTTTGTCACTTTTATTGGAAAATGAGTAAAGAACAGCGCGAACCTATATATACTGAAATCCTTTATCACTGCAAATCACTTGAAAGTGTCACAGACAAGCAAATAGAAATGCTTAAGAAAGATCAAAAGGAAGTTCAGCAAGCATTACAGACAATGTTTAATAAACTTCAAGAAATTTCGAAAGCAATTCCTAAATATGAAATAGAAGCAGATATAGATAGAATTAACGCAATATGTGATCGTTTAGAAGCATGTTGGTCAAGAGTTCAAAATGTCAACAAAAGATCAGATAAGCTAATTACAACTTTGCAACAAAAATCAGCTCAACTAAGCATAGAAGTTGAAAAGGGTGTTCAAGCATAATCTAATTCGATATGAAGATGTTAAATTGTTCTTGGTTGCAACAACATTGTGTGGCTATAGTAGAAAAGAGAGCGATAATACTACATTTATATGTCGTTTTGTTCAAATATGATTTTATTATTTTTTGAATTTGTATGGTAAAAGTGTCATTTTGTAAACTCGGTGAATTTTCACCCGAAGATTATTTTTGAAGAAAAATGAAGTATTGTGGGTCAATTCGAATTAATGATAATTTTTATTTGCCAGCACTCCGAAGGAATGATTGGGATATTGGCGAAATGAGGAAAGTTATGTTCTTTAAAGGTCGAGTTTCCCTGATTTATCTCACATCTGTTGACCATCCTGAGTTTAAGGAACATCTCAAGTTAATTGATATTGATGACCCGATATGTATTGATTTTGAATGGAGAGTTTCATATTCTTCCAAATTTCAAAATCATATTTCGTTATTTCAATTTGCCACGGATAATTGTGCACTTCTTATTAGGCATTTGCCTCCCCAGCCAAGTGAAATCCTGAAAGAGTTCTTAGAGACACACAGTTTCATAGGAAAAAGCACAGGAAATGATATGAGAAAGCTGAAAGACTTGTTTGGAACAGATATTAACGTTAAAATAGAAGATATAGCATCAAACAGATTATGTCCACATGGATTTTCTCGAAATTTCCATGATATGGTTGCAACATTTGTTGGGCCACCCCTTTTTTCAATTAAAGATAAAACAGTGACATTATCAAATTGGGAGCGGCCAAAATTAGCTATTATCCAGGTCCTTTATGCTGCTTTTGATGTCATTGCCTTAAGTTTTTCCCTTCCAAGACTTCCACCTGCTGCTGAACCAAAACAAAAAGTACTGAAAGGTAATCGAGCAATATCTAAGTCGCAGAGAAAGAGGATCTTCAAAAACCCCGGAGAATGTGCTAAAGCTTTGTCTGATATAACATTTCCAAATAGTGTTTTGATTCTAGAAAACATTGATTTCAATGTTCCTGATATTACAACAGAAAAGGCATTGAAACTAACATTAGAATTGTTTAACATGGATGAATCCATTCCTTCGACAATGACAATAGAGGTTGATGAAGATCTACCATCAGAATTGTTTGAAACTCAAAATTGGGAAACTCAACAAGAATCATTTAGGCAAAAAGAAGAGCCTGATCAAAAATTCCTATCATCAAGTGAAGATGATTATGATTATCTTGCTAATATCGGTGATGAATGAGCTTCTTATCTATTTGTTTGTAGATTATTTGTTAAATATTTTATTTTAATCATTCTTAATATTAATCATTGGGTTTAATGATTGGTTTTATGTAACTTTAATTCAGTGGTTGATTCAATTTGTTAATTAGTGTTCGATAAAAATAATTTATCAAAATATTATCAAGTTACAATATAAATATAATATGATGATGCTTAACAATACTAGGGTCAAATAGATATTCCATTAAATTACATAAAATATCATTAATTTAGTTAATTTGAATTAGTAACATGGTATTTTTTAGAATGTATACTATTTCATTGTGTTTTAACTCATTCCTAATAATTCCATTGCAGTAAAAAGTTATGAATGCCTGTATTGTATTAGAATGACAATTCGATACGAGTTAAAATTTTATAGAAGTTGGATTTTTAGATATGCCGCATAATGCTGAAATTAAATATTCGGTCACTTCTTAGAAAAAAATTTTCTCTTAATGATAGTTGTGGAACCTAAATTTTCAAGCTAATCTTCTTATAACTTCATGAAAACCACTCGAGCGTCTCACGATTTTTTGAGATTTAATTGAAAATTTTTGCATAGAATGAGAGAGGGTCAAAGTTGCTATTTGTGCACTTTCCACAAGAATATAATGGGAAAAAAGTTATCATATAGTTGATCTCATTCACTGAGGTGAGAGATGCATGTAGTGTAATGTGATAAACAGTGGGATTGCGGCTCTAAGTCCTAGGTTCGAGACACATTGGCTTCATTTTTCTCTTTTTTATTGACGTAAACTATTCAATTTTTGTGTTCTCCATTCAAATTTCAGAATTTTTTTGCAGATTTCACGCTACATTCGAAGTTACCTTTTGTAACAACCACCACTGCCTACGAAAGACGAAAGTGTGTCACGATTTCACCCGGAAATCCGACGGTTGTTTAAGAGTAAGCACTTTTGGCACCTACTCTATCGAAAAATCAACATTTAAGGTTAATTTAAGAGTATGCACTTTTGTCACCTACTCTGCATAGAATTGTTTACAGAATTATAAATATTTCAAATATCAAAAATAAAATTTGGGGATTTATAATATCTTCTTCTCAATTTTTGAAAGACCCATACAACTAGTTATCAATTGCACGATGACATTGGCATAATTTTTAAATCTTATTGGTCACATAAAATTATGTCGTATTTTATAACTTTTACTCTGAAACTCTAATTTTTTCAATCAATTTTTTTCATTATAACTATTGTTGTATAATATAATTACATCAAATTTTATTATGAACAGTATTCTTTTGAGAGGGCAAAAATTATTTTGAGAGTATATTTTTATTTTACTAAAAAATGCTTTGTTTCTTACCATTTCTCAGTCTTTCCTATAATGTTTCATTATTTGGATATCATGGCATCAATACAGTTCAAGTACAAGAAATTGATGGATATGAAGTCCTTGAAGTTCTTAAACATAAACCATCCGGCATTAAAAACATCCGCGATGCAGGATACTCTTCACCTAAAATTGCTAATGATAACGATTATGGATGGCCAGGTCACACAATGAAAGCTACAAAGGCCCAAATTTCAAGCGAACTCGAAAAAATGAAAGCACAATTTTGCAAAGCATCATCAGATTTAACGCAAGGTCAACTGTATTACCACCCTGCTGGAATTAAGCAATTTATTCAAAATGACACTTATATTGCCGAAATTCAAAGAGCTGACAGAATAAAGTTGAGAATGTTCATCAACGATCGCTATGACATTTATCATTCAACAACTTTATACGCAATGCCAGGTGAATTAATTACTTTTGAAATACCTGAATTTGCCGTTGGTAAACTTAATCTCGTTTTGAACAGACAAGCACCATCTAATGGCGATCTCACTCAGAGGTATCCAAATCTTCAGTGTTCATTCACTCTTAATGCTAAAAAAGTCACTTTTGGCTATCCGTTGGGTGGCTACATGGATATCAAATGCTGGATTGATACATTCCCACTTCATAGTGTTGAAATCAACATTACAGGTGGTATTAGAATTCCATATTTCCGCTATGGTGCGGAATCAGATCAAGATTGGGAAGAAGAAACAAGAAACTATGTAGCACCACTTACATTCTACGATACAGGTAATGTCAAGTGCATCTTCCCATCCACATTCAGCCGCAACCAAATCAGAATGAGTGATGCAGGTGCATTCTGGCGTACTGTCGGCCGTGTAATGTATTCTGTCAACGAAGTCACAAACTACGATAGGCGTAAGGATGGCAGAATTAAAACAGCTATGTGGTTCAACTTCGATTCTTATGTTCCAGCCGGTGCAGCTGTTGCTTTTGTCGGTGCAAACTTCATCCAAGCACCATTCAGCTGGTCAACAGCTATGATCAACTACGAAGGAGCCAAATGGGGCTGCTGGGGTAACGTCCACGAGTATGGCCACCACTTCCAAAGCGGATGGGGTATCTCTGGTACAGGCGAAACAACAAACAACGTCATCAATTTCATCACATATGCCATGCTTACAGAAATTGATGCAACAAGACAGATCACATTAGGTGGCGCTTCCTTCAACGCCGCTAATGGCTGGGCATATATTACTCACGAGTTCGGAAACATGGATGCTACTAAAGATTATGCAGGCCCATTCTTCTGGTATGGAAACAACGCATATTTCTTCGGTCTCGATGCCTGGAGAAAGTGTTTGAGAGCACACACGCACCAGATATACTACAAACGCAGTGATTATGGCACTTATACATCAGAATTCCTTATGCACTGTGCCAAGTTCTTCCATAGAGATTTACGTGCATATTTCAAGACATTTGAATTCCCTGAAGCATCACAGATCTCTGATAGATGCAATAATGAATTAAGCCAAATGAAACTAAAGGAATTCCATCCAGTTACAATGATCTGGTGCAGTGGATATCAATTGGAGGATAATTACAGCTTCACAACACACAAACCATTCCGTATTCCAGCCCGTAGTGTGTATTACTTTGATTTCACAAAGAACATCAAGTCTAGAGCCAAAATGCATGCATTTGAGTTCGATGATATTTCGAAAGCAGAGTATGGAGAGCTCAAAAAACTCACCACTGGCAAATACAAGTACACACCTCCAGATAACACATCAATGATTGATATGTTCAATGTTACACTTAAAGATAAAGTAAATGGAGAGAAAACAATTTGCATCATCACTTTGGAACAGAGATTCAAAGGCTGTAGGATGAACTACATGAGTCTCAAATCATATGGTGCTACAAAGACAACAACACCAAAAGAAGCTTATAAGATCTACAACAAACAGCTAGAAACAGAGTTACCAACTTCATTGATCGGATGGGGAATGGTCGTCAACAATTATGGATCTGATAAAGCAGCTGTTCCATGGATTTGTGTCACAGAAGGTGTCTTTGTTCCAGAGAACTCAACCAAGTACAGATTCATCTTCCAACACGATGAAGGAATGTTGTTCTACATCACCGATTCTACACTTTCTGGCGATCCAGATTCAGACGAGAAGTATCTCTACTATTCAAGTGATAAATCTGAAGCCGCAAACGCTAAACAAGATACTAAATCAATTTCCCTTAAGGAAGGAACTAAATACAACTTCAGATTCATTGTTTACAACACAGATAACGCTGGATCTGGCCAAGTCAAGTATTCAATGGATGGTTCATCAGAATTCAAGAACGTTGATGGAAACAGAGTTTGGTTCCCTGGTTGTGGTCCTGATGATGTTGACCACATCTTCAAGCCAAAGCTTGAGAACGATCCAACACTCGGTCACTACTATGATACTGTTCATCGCGAGTATGCAACTGATAAATTCACTGTTAAGTCCGCTCCAAAGCCAGATGACTCTTCTATTTCAATGGACAAGATCTTATTCGATAAGGATATCAAACAAAATGCTTTATGCACTGTAAGTGACTTTCCAGTTACATACAAGGTCGACTTTGGCTCAGATATCATCATCGACAGAGTTCTTGCAACATCAATGGAAGGCAAGCCAATGGATTCAACAGCAGATATCAAGTGCGATGGTACAAAAGTTGGAACATTTAACTTGACAACTAAGGATAACAAGATGTTCTTTGATAATACATACAAGTGCAGAACTCTTGAACTTATTGTCAATGACAATAAGAATGGTAAATATGTATCAATCAACGAAATTGAACCACATCTTGATGTTATCTCCAATTCTAGACAAATTATCCCTGCAACACACATCGACATCGAGTTGAGCAGTGAAAAGAAGTGCAAGATTGTCAAGAACGGCTTGTATTACAACGGAAAAGGCCTCCAACTTGACAAAGGCTGCAAGTTAACATTCAATGTCAAACTTAATGATACAGGAGATTCCATTGGTGTCCTCGGAGATAGAACAATCTATGGCGGTGTCTTCGAGTTCTCTGTTGGTGGAGACTACAGAGGAACAGTTGACACAAGAGAAATCCTTAATTCTGAAAAGCAGTTTCTGCCTGGATATTCTATCTACCAGCAGCCACTTGTTGGTGTAAGAGGCCTTAAGAATGGAACTGACTATGAGGTTCAGATCAAAGTCACAGAAGGATCAGTAAGAATCGCTGGTTTCCTTGCTGATATGACACTTCATGAAGTATTCGAGAACTATGATGATGGAAACGCTTATTATAGATCTGCAAGATTCATCATTCCTATGATTATTGCTTCTATATTCATAGCTCTTGTCCTTGTAATTATAGTTGCTATCATTGTTCTCAAATGTAAGAAGGCAGGCGCAGAAGTCTTCACTTAAAGTAAATAAACAAAATATCTTTAATAAAAAAAATTCTTTTTCAAAAATATCTTTTATCATTAATTCTGTTCATCAATGATTCCTTAATGGTGCACTTACCATTTTCTGATAATCTCTCATAGCAAATCCTTGTTATAATAGTAAAAAAACTATAAGGGATACATATTAGTTTATACAGAAAATATTAACTATTCACCTGATCAATTGAGAAGTAAAAAATTTGAGATGATTTAGAAATAAAAAAAGGCGTTTGTGGGCCTAAAATTCAATTCATTATGCGGGAATTGTTTAATCGAAAAAGTAAAAAATTATTTCAAATTATTCAACGTTATACTTCTTCATGTATTCTCTGATGAATCCTAAGAACTGGAGATCTTCAGGGGTGTTTTTGACGTCTTGAATCTTCTGGCCATTGATTGGATCATTAAGATTGCCATTTGATTGGCTCAATTTGTAGATTAAGGCTTGTTTTTCGAAGTAGTTTCCGGATGATGCCTTAACTGGATGTTCCATTCTTGTGAATGAGAATGGGTCACAGAATTTCGGTTTGACTGTTCTCGCTCTTCCGAGTTTGACAATTACGCTTGAATCTTCATTGTAAGCTGGCAAACTTACTTCTGAGAAGCTTGAATTTCTAATAATAGAAATCAGATCGACTGATGGCGTAATTCGCTCCAAAACATCCATGTTCTGGATATTCTTGAAATCTGGCTTTGAAAGCATGTTTCTGATCGAAAGAAGTGCAAAGAAGATTGTGACATTGGAGTTGTGTCTTGTTCTCAAAACATCGATGTTGATTGAACCATCAGCTGTGATATTTGGATGCAAAGGAACAGATAAGAATCTGATTTCAGGAGCTGTAACTGGGAATCCATTTGGAATGATGACTGCAAGTTTCAACCATTTGTTTGCACCATATGGCGAATCTTTCTTTGTTCTCATGTATACATTCCAGTATTTGCCGAATTGTTTATCTTCATCGTTAGGAGAAGGTTTCTTGATGAAGAAGTAGAAATTCTTATTGATTTGTGATTCGAAATGAATTGCACAATCCTTCATGTTCAACAAAATCTCGTTTTCAAGTTGAGTAATTTCTGGCTTTTGCTCCAAGAGATAAATGCTCTTCTTCAATGTCTCAAGTTCTTCTTGCTTATAATTGAAATTCTTCACAGGAACTATTGAGATTGGAGAATGTTTCACTGTCATATCTCTATCAACACAATTGCCTTTAACTGGTCCAAATTGTCTGAGTGTTAAGTTGAAGAAACCATCACTTTCAAAGATTCGTCTAATTTTTGTGATATCGATTTGTCTGTTTCCTTTTTTGATGAAATCTCTATCGGAGAACTGAAGATAGCATCCTCCTGAGTTAATTGCTATGTTTTGTGGTGGATATTCTGGATCATCTCCCAATTCGATATAATCAAATACGATTCCGTCTCTAACTAAACCATTTGCAATATCAGCTAGTTCTTGCATGTGATTATTCGTTTTATAATGATATTCATTATCACCACCATCTGTAAGAGCAATAATTCTCTTAATTGCATTCTTGAATTCTGGTTTTTGCCTAACTTTTGCATTGATTTCATCTTGTGCTAATTCAATGCAGCGGTATAAAGCAGTGCAACCCCAAGCTCTAATTGTATCGACAGCTCTGTGAAATTCGTTTGGAATTGGAGATAAAGGTAAAATTATTTTTGGCGTTGTATCAAAAATGTACAAACCCCAGAGTGATAATGGGCCGACTTCATAAGCTCTGTTAACAATGATTTTGAAGCATTGTTTTGCAATTTCAAGGCTTGTACCGCCCATTGATCCTGATGTATCAATGCAGATAATGTTGATTTGTTGTGTTTCACTTGGAGTGTCGATTACAACACCTTTAGATCTTAGAGCTTCAGCCATTGTGTCAATAACTTCCACCTTTATTTCTCCTTCTTTTGGATCAATGTATTGGATTTGTTTCTGGGAAACAATGCTTTTACTGTCTTGTTGTTTGTAGCATGTTCCAAGGGAAAGTAAGAATGTGTTGTTTCCCCTGATGATCATCGGATTAGGATTTGAGATTGCTTCAATAATCTTGAATTCTCTGAATATTTGGCTCTGAGAGGAATTCAAATCTTTGACTTCAGGTAATGATCTTTTGATTGTTGTGGCAAAGCATCTTGAGAAATCTGAATTATATGTGGAGATGCTTTCATAATCGCTGAAATTCAGGAAGAAATAGCGTCCTGTTGATGTGTTCAAGAATGGGGCGATGTTCATTGTAACTCTTGAAGGAGAACTTTGTGAATGGTGATCAACATATTTGAAGAAATCTAAGATTTGGCTATAGTTAATCGAAGTCGTGTTGTAAATATTCTTAACAATAGCAAAAAGAGTTGTTGTGATGGTAATAATGTGGTGATACCTTATCAAAGCTTTCTTCTGGATGTCATGAAGAGCAATGATGCATGGAGCATATTTTGTGTTGTTCTCAAACCATCCAATGATCTTTTGGAGAATTCTGTAATCTGTGACACATAACAAGCCCATTAAAGCTGATCCTAAGACAACTGTGTCTTCTGGAAGGTTGTTTAATGGAGAGATACAGAATTTCTGTTGATCATTTGTAATTGCACAAATATTTGCTTTGACTGAATGGTAATATGATGGCAATGAAAGACCTCTGAATGTGGAAACTGATTTACTTACAACAGTGATATACAAAACCTTCTTTGCAGCAGTGTAAATGGAAAAGAAATCATTAATTGTTCCACGGAGATAAGGAATAGCACCTGGCAAATATACAATGACATCAATGTCTTGAATATTATATGTCTTTTCGATTTCTTGGATGATGTGAGCCCTTTGTGAATCAAAGTCTAAATCAGGTGAAACTGGCATGAAAATGCCTTTTGTTAGTGACTCATATGTAACTGTTGAATACACTCTGAAATGTCCTTTTGGAGGGTCACCTTCATAATCATCTGGCAAATTTATTGTTGGAAGGAAATTATGATCAAGAACTGTAATGATATCTTGAACAAGCGTAGTATCCAATACATATGTGTTTGGATCCAAGACACTACCATAGAGACCAAGATAGATCTGATTGGAGAGGTTAAGCTTGGATTGTATATCATTACACAGCTTAGACACAGTCCAATCATCGGAGTAATACCAACTAACCGTCTGGCGATTAAAAGTAATGCTGATGTCAGGCATGAAGAATAACTAAAATGAAATTTGTTAAATTTTCCATCAATTGTATTGACAGAAATTATAATGTTGTTTCATTTCAAGAAATAATATTATAATTAATAATAGTATGTATATTTTTAAGGAAAACAAAAGCAAAAATTGAAATGTTTATAAAATGATAAATAAGCTATTCCAACTGATATAGAATATATTTAACGGAAAATCAATATTAAAAATCCAATATGCTGGCTTTTTTAAACTTTACTTGAAGGGGAGGTTTTTTGTGATATGGAAAAATGTTCGTTGCTCAATTATCTCACTATTGGATGGACTTTTATCGAGCGAAATTTTGGCTGTAAAGACAATTCTGATATTGGTAACATGGTGATAAGAACAAATAGTCAGTTTGCATGGTTTATGATGAGATAATTTCGATTTAAAAAAAAACATAAAAATTGATTTTAATGAGCGATTATATTTGAATATGCTCTCCTAATTTGAAGGAACTGGTTAAATCATAAATTGATCATGAATAATTTTTTTTCGAAATAACAATTATAATTTCATATTCATTAAAAAAAAAAAAAAAAAAAAAGGTAGTGGGGCTTCCAGGCACTTCGTGCCTTCTAGCCCTGAAGATGTTTAGTATAAATGAAGTTTGTATTCGGAGGGCTTCCAGGCGCCCTCTAGCCCTGAAGATGTTTAGTATAAATGAAGTTTTTATTCGGAAATTGTTAGTCTTCTGGGTCGAAAACATTATATAATGTTTCACTTTTCACAAATTATATATGTTTTCATGTTTTGTCAAGACTTCTTCGTAATGAGTGTAAATGACCCAAAAATAAAGTTTAGGTGAAGTGGTGAGATGTCACCTGTTTTCTCACCTCTTTTTTCACCTCTTGAATTTTCAAGACTTCTTCGTAAATGTTTTGTCAAGACTTCTTCGTAATGAGTGTAAAGGACCCAAAAATAATGTTTAGGTGAAGAGGTGAGATCTCACCTGTTTTTTCACCTCTTTTTTCACCTCTTGAATTTGTCAAGACTTCTTCGTAAATGTTTTGAGATTTCAAGTTATTTGAATTAGGTCCAGAAGACAGTATCAAACGCAGTTTATACGGAATGAAACGTGATAACGTTCCTTATATAAATTATTCTCGATATTGCGAAGATATTAAAGACAAAATCTCACAAGTGCAAATGCTTGAACAGCCTGAATTCAAAACAATCGATTTTAAAGAATACATAAAAGTTATCATGCCATATTTGGATGCAACTCCTGAGGACGAAATATTAGCCAATCCAGATCATGATTTCGTCAATTACATTAAAGAAATTTCGAAATTAATTCCAACAGAATTTTATGGCCCTCTTCAGAAGTTTTGGCATCCTGTTTATACAGTTACAAGTTCTAAAGATCATGATTTTGCATATTTTATGGCAAAATTCTTAAGAGCTTCAGCAGATCCAACAAAACTCGCCAGAATTCTTGCCAAAGTTGTCTTCAAGGATACCATTAAGAATAAATCATCTACATCTCGCATTGAGATACCTGAATTTGCCGTTGGTAAACTTAATCTCGTTTTGAACAGACAAGCACCATCTAATGGCGATCTCACTCAGAGTATCCAAATTTCAGTTTCATTCACTCTTAATGCTAAAAAAGTCACTTTTGGCTATCCGTTGGGTGGCTACATGGATATCAAATGCTGGATTGATACATTCCCACTTCATAGTGTTGAAATCAACATTACAGGTGGTATTAGAATTCCATATTCCGCTATGGTGCGGAATCAGATCAAGATTGGGAAGAAGAAACAAGAAACTATGTAGCACACTTACATTCTACGATACAGGTAATGTCAAGTGCATCTTCCATCCACATTCAGCCGCAACCAAATCAGAATGAGTGATGCAGGTGCATTCTGGCGTACTGTCGGCCGTGTAATGTATTCTGTCAACGAAGTCACAAACTACGATAGGCGTAAAGGATGGCAGAATTAAAACAGCTATGTGGTTCAACTTCGATTCTTATGTTCCAGCCGGTGCAGCTGTTGCTTTTGTCGGTGCAAACTTCATCCAAGCACCATTCAGCTGGTCAACAGCTATGATCAACTACGAAGGAGCCAAATGGGGCTGCTGGGGTAACGTCCACGAGTATGGCCACCACTTCCAAAGCGGATGGGGTATCTCTGGTACAGGCGAAACAACAAACAACGTCATCAATTTCATCACATATGCCATGCTTACAGAAATTGATGCAACAAGACAGATCACATTAGGTGGCGCTTCCTTCAACGCCGCTAATGGCTGGGCATATATTTACTCACGAGTTCGGAAACATGGATGCTACTAAGATTATGCAGGCCCATTCTTCTGGTATGGAAACAACGCATATTTCTTCGGTCTCGATGCCTGGAGAAAGTGTTTGAGAGCACACACGCACCAGATATACTACAAACGCAGTGATTATGGCACTTATACATCAGAATTCCTTATGCACTGTGCCAAGTTCTTCCATAGAGATTTACGTGCATATTTCAAGACATTTGAATTCCCTGAAGCATCACAGATCTCTGATAGATGCAATAATGAATTAAGCCAAATGAAACTAAAGGAATTCATCCAGTTACAATGATCTGGTGCAGTGGATATCAATTGGAGGATAATTACAGCTTCACAACACACAAACCATTCCGTATTCCAGCCCGTAGTGTGTATTACTTTGATTTCACAAAGAACATCAAGTCTAGAGCCAAAATGCATGCATTTGAGTTCGATGATATTTCGAAAGCAGAGTATGGAGAGCTCAAAAAACTCACCACTGGCAAATACAAGTACACACCTCCAGATAACACATCAATGATTGATATGTTCAATGTTACACTTAAAGATAAAGTAAATGGAGAGAAAACAATTTGCATCATCACTTTGGAACAGAGATTCAAAGGCTGTAGGATGAACTACATGAGTCTCAAATCATATGGTGCTACAAAGACAACAACACCAAAAGAAGCTTATAAGATCTACAACAAACAGCTAGAAACAGAGTTACCAACTTCATTGATCGGATGGGGAATGGTCGTCAACAATTATGGATCTGATAAAGCAGCTGTTCCATGGATTTGTGTCACAGAAGGTGTCTTTGTTCCAGAGAACTCAACCAAGTACAGATTCATCTTCCAACACGATGAAGGAATGTTGTTCTACATCACCGATTCTTACACTTTCTGGCGATCCAGATTCAGACGAGAGTATCTCTACTATTCAAGTGATAAATCTGAAGCCGCAACCGCTAAACAAGATACTAAATCAATTTCCCTTAAGGAAGGAACTAAATACAACTTCAGATTCATTGTTTACAACACAGATAACGCTGGATCTGGCCAAGTCAAGTATTCAATGGATGGTTCATCAGAGAATTCAAGAACGTTGATGGAAACAGAGTTTGGTTCCTGGTTGTGGTCCTGATGATGTTGACCACATCTTCAAGCCAAAGCTTGAGAACGATCCAACACTCGGTCACTACTATGATACTGTTCATCGCGAGTATGCAACTGATAAATTCACTGTTAAGTCCGCTCCAAAGCCAGATGACTCTTCTATTTCAATGGACAAGATCTTATTCGATAAGGATATCAAACAAAATGCTTTATGCACTGTAAGTGACTTTCCAGTTACATACAAGGTCGACTTTGGCTCAGATATCATCATCGACAGAGTTCTTGCAACATCAATGGAAGGCAAGCCAATGGATTCAACAGCAAGATCAAGTGCGATGGTACAAAAGTTGGAACATTTAACTTGACAACTAAGGATAACAAGATGTTCTTTGATAATACATACAAGTGCAGAACTCTTGAACTTATTGTCAATGACAATAAGAATGGTAAATATGTATCAATCAACGAAATTGAACCACATCTTGATGTTATCTCCAATTCTAGACAAATTATCCCTGCAACACACATCGACATCGAGTTGAGCAGTGAAAAGAAGTGCAAGATTGTCAAGAACGGCTTGTATTACAACGGAAAAGGCCTCCAACTTGACAAAGGCTGCAAGTTAACATTCAATGTCAAACTTAATGATACAGGAGATTCCATTGGTGTCCTCGGAGATAGAACAATCTATGGCGGTGTCTTCGAGTTCTCTGTTGGTGGAGACTACAGAGGAACAGTTGACACAGAGAAATCCTTAATTCTGAAAAGCAGTTTCTGCCTGGATATTCTATTACCAGCAGCCACTTGTGGTGTAAGAGGCTTAAGAATGGAACTGACTATGAGGTTCAGATCAAAGTCACAGAAGGATCAGTAAGAATCGCTGGTTTCTTGCTGATATGACACTTCATGAAGTATTCGAGAACTATGATGATGGAAACGCTTATTATAGATCTGCAAGATTCATCATTCCTATGATTATTGCTTCTATATTCATAGCTCTTGTCCTTGTAATTATAGTTGCTAATCATTGTTCTCAAATGTAAGAAGGCAGGCGCAGAAGTCTTCACTTAAAGTAAATAAACAAAATATCTTTAATAAAAAAAATTCTTTTTCAAAAATATCTTTTATCATTAATTCTGTTCATCAATGATTCCTTAATGGTGACACTTACCATTTTCTGATAATCTCTCATAGCAAATCCTTGTTATAATAGTAAAAAAACTATAAGGGATACATATTAGTTTATACAGAAAATATTAACTATTCACCTGATCAATTGAGAAGTAAAAAATTTGAGATGATTTAGAAATAAAAAAAGGCGTTTGTGGGCCTAAAATTCAATTCATTATGCGGGAATTGTTTAATCGAAAAAGTAAAAAATTATTTCAAATTATTCAACGTTATACTTCTTCATGTATTCTCTGATGAATCCTAAGAACTGGAGATCTTCAGGGGTGTTTTTGACGTCTTGAATCTTCTGGCCATTGATTGGATCATTAAGATTGCCATTTGATTGGCTCAATTTGTAGATTAAGGCTTGTTTTTCGAAGTAGTTTCCGGATGATGCCTTAACTGGATGTTCCATTCTTGTGAATGAGAATGGGTCACAGAATTTCGGTTTGACTGTTCTCGCTCTTCCGAGTTTGACAATTACGCTTGAATCTTCATTGTAAGCTGGCAAACTTACTTCTGAGAAGCTTGAATTTCTAATAATAGAAATCAGATCGACTGATGGCGTAATTCGCTCCAAAACATCCATGTTCTGGATATTCTTGAAATCTGGCTTTGAAAGCATGTTTCTTGATCGAAAGAAGTGCAAAGAAGATTGTGACATTGGAGTTGTGTCTTGTTCTCAAAACATCGATGTTGATTGAACCATCAGCTGTGATATTTGGATGCAAAGGAACAGATAAGAATCTGATTTCAGGAGCTGTAACTGGGAATCCATTTGGAATGATGACTGCAAGTTTCAACCATTTGTTTGCACCATATGGCGAATCTTTCTTTGTTCTATGTATACATTCCAGTATTTGCCGAATTGTTTATCTTCATCGTTAGGAGAAGGTTTCTTGATGAAGAAGTAGAAATTCTTATTGATTTGTGATTCGAAATGAATTGCACAATCCTTCATGTTCAACAAAATCTCGTTTCCAAGTTGAGTAATTTCTGGCTTTTGCTCCAAGAGATAAATGCTCTTCTTCAATGTCTCAAGTCTTTCTTGCTTATAATTGAAATTCTTCACAGGAACTATTGAGATTGGAGAATGTTTCACTGTCATATCTCTATCAACACAATTGCCTTTAACTGGTCCAAATTGTCTGAGTGTTAAGTTGAAGAAACCATCACTTTCAAAGATTCGTCTAATTTTTGTGATATCGATTTGTTGTTTCCTTTTTTGATGAAATCTCTATCGGAGAACTGAAGATAGCATCTCCTGAGTTAATTGCTATGTTTTGTGGTGGATATTCTGGATAATCTCCCAATTCGATATAATCAAATACGATTCCGTCTCTAACTAAACCATTTGCAATATCAGCTAGTTTTTGCATGTGATTATTCGTTTTATAATGATATTCTTATCACCACCATCTGTAAGAGCAATAATTCTCTTAATTGCATTCTTGAATTCTGGTTTTTGCCTAACTTTTGCATTGATTTCATCTTGTGCTAATTCAATGCAGCGGTATAAAGCAGTGCAACCCCAAGCTCTAATTGTATCGACAGCTCTGTGAAATTCGTTTGGAATTGGAGATAAAGGTAAAATTATTTTTGGCGTTGTATCAAAAATGTACAAACCAGAGTGATAATGGGCCGACTTCATAAGCTCTGTTAACAATGATTTTGAAGCATTGTTTTGCAATTTCAAGGCTTGTACCGCCCATTGATCCTGATGTATCAATGCAGATAATGTTGATTTGTTGTGTTTCACTTGGAGTGTCGATTACAACACCTTTAGATCTTAGAGCTTCAGCCATTGTGTCAATAACTTCCACCTTTATTTCTCCTTCTTTTGGATCAATGTATTGGATTTGTTTCTGGGAAACAATGCTTTTACTGTCTTGTTGTTTGTAGCATGTTCCAAGGGAAAGTAAGAATGTGTTGTTTCCCCTGATGATCATCGGATTAGGATTTGAGATTGCTTCAATAATCTTGAATTCTTTGAATATTTGGCTCTGAGAGGAATTCAAATCTTTGACTTCAGGTAATGATCTTTTGATTGTTGTGGCAAAGCATCTTGAGAAATCTGAATTATATGTGGAGATGCTTTCATAATCGCTGAAATTCAGGAAGAAATAGCGTCCTGTTGATGTGTTCAAGAATGGGGCGATGTTCATTGTAACTCTTGAAGGAGAACTTTGTGAATGGTGATCAACATATTTGAAGAAATCTAAGATTTGGCTATAGTTAATCGAAGTCGTGTTGTAAATATTCTTAACAATAGCAAAAAGAGTTGTTGTGATGGTAATAATGTGGTGATACCTTATCAAAGCTTTCTTCTGGATGTCATGAAGAGCAATGATGCATGGAGCATATTTTGTGTTGTTCTCAAACCATCCAATGATCTTTTGGAGAATTCTGTAATCTGTGACACATAACAAGCCCATTAAAGCTGATCCTAAGACAACTGTGTCTTCTGGAAGGTTGTTTAATGGAGAGATACAGAATTTCTGTTGATCATTTGTAATTGCACAAATATTTGCTTTGACTGAATGGTAATATGATGGCAATGAAAGACCTCTGAATGTGGAAACTGATTTACTTACAACAGTGATATACAAAACCTTCTTTGCAGCAGTGTAAATGGAAAAGAAATCATTAATTGTTCCACGGAGATAAGGAATAGCACCTGGCAAATATACAATGACATCAATGTCTTGAATATTATATGTCTTTTCGATTTCTTGGATGATGTGAGCCCTTTGTGAATCAAAGTCTAAATCAGGTGAAACTGGCATGAAAATGCCTTTTGTTAGTGACTCATATGTAACTGTTGAATACACTCTGAAATGTCCTTTTGGAGGGTCACCTTCATAATCATCTGGCAAATTTATGTTGGAAGGAAATTATGATCAAGAACTGTAATGATATCTTGAACAAGCGTAGTATCCAATACATATGTGTTTGGATCCAAGACACTACCATAGAGACCAAGATAGATCTGATTGGAGAGGTTAAGCTTGGATTGTATATCATTACACAGCTTAGACACAGTCCAATCATCGGAGTAATACCAACTAACCGTCTGGCGATTAAAAGTAATGCTGATGTCAGGCATGAAGAATAACTAAAATGAAATTTGTTAAATTTTCCATCAATTGTATTGACAGAAATTATAATGTTGTTTTTATTCAAGAAAATATATTAATATTAATAATAGTATGTATATTTTTAAGGAAAACAAAAGCAAAAATTGAAATGTTTATAAAATGATAAATAAGCTATTCCAACTGATATAGAATATATTTAACGGAAAATCAATATTAAAAATCCAATATGCTGGCTTTTTTAAACTTTACTTGAAGGGGAGGTTTTTTGTGATATGGAAAAATGTTCGTTGCTCAATTATCTCACTATTGGATGGACTTTTATCGAGCGAAATTTTGGCTGTAAAGACAATTCTGATATTGGTAACATGGTGATAAGAACAAATAGTCAGTTTGCATGGTTTATGATGAGATAATTTGATTTAAAAAAAAACATAAAATTGATTTTAATGAGCGATTATATTTGAATATGCTCTCCTAATTTGAAGGAACTGGTTAAATCATAAATTGATCATGAATAATTTTTTTTCGAAATAACAATTATAATTTCATATTAATTAAAAAAAAAAAAAAAAAAAAAGGTAGTGGGGTTCCAGGCACTTCGTGCCTTCTAGCCCTGAAGATGTTTAGTATAAATGAAGTTTGTATTCGGAGGGCTTCCAGGCGCCCTCTAGCCCTGAAGATGTTTAGTATAAATGAAGTTTTTATTCGGAAATTGTTAGTCTTCTGGGTCGAAAACATTATATAATGTTTCACTTTTCACAAATTATATATGTTTTCATGTTTTGTCAAGACTTCTTCGTAATGAGTGTAAATGACCCAAAAATAAAGTTTAGGTGAAGTGGTGAGATGTCACCTGTTTTCTCACCTCTTTTTTCACCTCTTGAATTTTCAAGACTTCTTCGTAAATGTTTTGTCAAGACTTCTTCGTAATGAGTGTAAAGGACCCAAAAATAATGTTTAGGTGAAGAGGTGAGATCTCACCTGTTTTTTCACCTCTTTTTTCACCTCTTGAATTTGTCAAGACTTCTTCGTAAATGTTTTGTCACTTTTCTGTCACTT